ATTTGATGGGCATAGCAAGAATGACATTAAATCCAACTGCAGATTGCTAAAACTGGTAACTTTTTTAGGATTTTTCACCAGGACACTTAAGGGAAAATGTTCTGCTAATTCAAGTTTACAGGAAGGTAGCTAAAAGGAATAACAAAAACAAAGTTCACATATCTTAAAAAGAATCCCCAAAGAATATTGCTTCCATTTTCAAGAAACTACAACTAATCCACACAAAAGGTTTGTCAACCTTTAGAGATCTGTCAGAGGAAAGGAGAGTTATTATATGCAGGGAGTTGGCCAACTGGTTACATTAGCTAATATAATTCCTACAGTAAGATACAGCTTAAGTTATCCATCAAGCTCTTACATAGTTAATTTAGGAATTTACCCCAACATATTTGAAAAGATCTTGATTAGAGAAGGTTGGTTTTAATCTTCATTTGATTGTCAGTGGGGACCTAGCCAAAATTTTCCTAGGTACAGGTGTTTCTTCAGGCAAACCTGATGCCAATTACAGCAATAATATTCAAGTCAAGAGAAATATATCTTTTGATAGATTGTGACGTTGTCCATGATGCAATACAGATTTAAACTTTCTTCCGTATGTTGCCTTATATTTCTTAAGCCTCTTAATACCCCCATCTATTTGTTAGTCCTAGTTAAATCTGTAGCAACATGGGGTATTACTAAGAAGCAAGCCGCTGTATATGACTAAAATGGCACCTCTGTTATAGCAGCATATCAACAACCTTTTTGCCCAAATTTCCTTTGAACTTCTAGCTGCAGTTGTCTTTAACATTTCTGTATGTAATAAGAAAAGAAACTCATCACCTCTTGTCCTAATACCATAGGCTCAAAAAAATCAGTCACAGTTTATTAGAGCAAAATGGCACCAAATTGCATTGCTAGCTTACAAAATAGAAGTTTGTGCAAATTTCAATGTGATTCTAAGTACAAAGGCTGTGTATTTCAGTTCATCCTGTTATGTGACATTTGTTTCTAGAAAGGCTTTAAGTTCCTGAGGGTCTTATGCAAAAAACAGTATAATTGATGGATCAGATTAACTAGCAAAGGTTTTCAAATAGGTATTAAATCACATTAATTGTGGTTAAAGCTCACAACGTGATTTCCAAGCCAAGCTTTAAGTGAAGCTTTTTCAAAATGTTTAGAGGTCAACACTGGTGATACTTTACTTGGTACAGTACAGAGCCCTCTACCTATGACCATAATTGAGTTTTGACAGTCATAAAGTGGATCAACTTTTTTTTACAGTGGTCATTAAACAAACCCATTGTTTGCCATAGAACATTTTTTCCCAAAAACTAGAAATATATTCTGGTTTCCAGAAAAACATTGTAAATTGCAGTCACATGACTGCAGGGCATTGCAAATGGCTAGTTCCCAAGAGCCCAAAATGCAGTCACATAACCACAAGGAGTGGGAACCTGGACTTTGTAAGTTAGGAATAAGGCAGTAAATACCTTTTGGGGGTGGCTGTCATAACTTAAATGGGTGCTAACATCTGGTTGTAAATTGGTAGTACCTGTAGTGCTTTGTTCTCAGCAAAGTCAATGTATGCTTGTCCAACACACCAGTCTTATTTTTCGTACACTTCTAGCCCACATCTTTTTCCCATGAACTTTGTATTTTTTCTTTCCTTATTTCAATTTTTAGTTTCACCGAAAGTGGCTGATTAACACTTGACCTAGTTTGTTGAATTAACAAAAATGCCTGGGATCATTCAACACATTGGCTCTACCCTAACTTTGTCCGCTGCTCTTGTTTTTACTTAAAGGGCTTAATAGTTAAAAACTCACATTTGGCTCAGAATCCCATCCCAATAAAGAAAAAAAAAAGGGGTTAACGAATATATAGTACCATGCTTTCTAGCTTATGCCAAGAAGGGGGCAGTTTCTGGAGTACAGATGTAACTGCAATTTTACACCGCAACAAGCCATTTTACTTTAGCAATACTTTAAATCACTATAAGGCAGCGAGGCGCTACAAGCAGCCTACTTGTCTTTTCTCACAGTGTAAAAGGCAGCCGAGGCAAGTACAGTCACAGGGAGCGAGCAAAGTAGCTTCCTTTCCGCCCGGGAGCTGAGCTTCTCTTAGGGCGACACCCCCATTCGCTTCTCGATTCACTAGCCAAAGAGGCGGCGGAGAAGCAACTAAGAGGAGTGGGAGCCGGAAAACGCCTAGTTGGAGGACCACCAGTCGGTGTTTGGTGCCGAGCCCGGACTGAGGACCAACGCTGCAGTCGTGGCTGGTCTCGGGGGGCGAGATATGGCGCCGTGCAACAGAGAAACGCGAGGAAAAGGCGCTTCCCTGACTAGAAAATTCCACACTGTCGGAAGGAGACAAGGGAGGCGAGTTCAGCTGCGCTGCAAAAAACCCCGACAGGTTGCCTTGGTAACTAAAATACCCGCGCACCGCACGCACACAACATAGGCGGGATGGTTGCCGGCTTAAGTTGTAGTACACCTACCTCAACAAAACCGCCGCATAATCGCGAGCGCTTTCCACAGCCATGGTCTGCTTTTGTTCCTCCTCACCTATCACCCCCTCCGCTACTCTTTATGAGCAAAGGCGCCCCGCCCTCCTTGTCCTTTACTCAGCAGAACCGCCCATTGATCGGAGGCGAAAGAGAGGGACAGAAACCCAACACGCAAAAGGGAAGCGATTTCAGAGAATGCTTATCTTCGTTTGGGTGGTTGGCGCCGGATGCTTTTATTGGCACTAGGCCGATTGGATCTTTTTGCAGTCCGTGGTCTACAAATTTATAATCTGAAGCTATTTCCCTTCACCTTTCACAACTGTACTACGCTACAAGAAAAAGCATGGCTTTATTCTGATCCATCTTTCATAATTTCGTATTTACTCCTCCAGGGAAGGTCTTGTATCTGACTCTTGATTCTAGATTAGAAAACAAAACTCTTGATCACTATTCATATTTTAAATGCTTACATTCCCTCGGCCCAAGCTTTTTCTTTTACACATAACTAACTCTTTCAAACCCATGTTTTGAAGAACTTGGTTTGTTCTGTCGCTGGCTACTCTGAAGACCATAGAAATCCACCAGGCAGCCGAGCATTATTATTGATACACAATGGCAACAGTTCTCCAAATGTTCAGACAAAAGTTACTGCATTCCAGATTTGCTTGGATATGCCAAGCTTTGTACTGTAAGACTGCACCTTCAGCATATTAGTGAGTTTCTTGAACTATGATACACAGAGCAGACACAGTATTCATATATGATCTGAGTAGCATTTGGGACTGTTCTCATGCTCTTATAGTACTGCTTCTGTATAAAACTGCATGAACTGTTTCACAATAGCATTGCCCTGCAAACTCAGTTTATGATAAACTCACACATTAGAGGACATTGTACTTCCTGTGCTACTTTCTTCCACATTGATCCAGAGCTGTTAATAGCCCTGTCGTTCAACCAATCTGGATCTGTCAAAGAACAGGATCATCTGAATCACATTTACTCTTGTCAACAAATTCTGAGAGACTGTCAAATGCTTTGCTGAAAATTATATATGCTATATTCATAAATCCTCATCCTTCAGGCAGTTAATGCACAGGAATAAAAATGTGTAGAAATTACCAGTGTACTTACACTATCCTTACATCCTTTTGACCCTTCCACTATGTTTATTTTTCTTTCCAATCTCTGACAAGGTCTGGAGAGAAGAGATACCCATTTTCATTTGTATATCACTATAGCTTTCCATGCAGTTTAGGATGTTGCTTGAGGTTCCAGATCTAATAGTGTGCCGGACAACTTAAGATAAATTTTAGTAAAGCCAAAATGGAGGCATGAAATCGGTCAGAACTAGGTGAAGGTGAAGGAATTATTTCCTGAACACACTATGATTCACCAAACTAAAACTATGAAAGTTGATTTGGCAAGACTTATTTTTTTTATAGAAAACTAACATAGAAAACTAATAAAAAGATTTATTTTTGATAAACCGATATAGTTTTTATTTATCAATGTATTTTATTTTAAAAATATGCCAAGTTTCCAATACCTCATTTATTGTACAAGAATTCTGATGCAGTATCACAGACGTTAGCCTTGACATAACATCTACAAACTACCTGAGCATTCACATGCCTTTCTCAAATTGAACTCAAGTAAATTAAGGGTTATCTAAATTTCTCCTGATCTATTTTAGATAGATAGAAAAGGATTGTAATCTATCATTTCAATTTGCATGGATGCCCACTTCAATGTGACTCTGGGTGGCTTACAAGAATTAAAAACAAATAATATAAGCAATTGACATTGTAGTAGTAAACATAAAAGTAAAAAAAAAATAATCCTGCAGGAGAAAAATACTCACAATTAGACATCAGATAATCTCAGACTTGATTGTGAAATATTTAATATTTTTATTGTTTTTATTTCCCCCCCCCGATTGCAGTTCTACTGGGAAGAAAACTATGGTACTATAGAAGCTAAGTAGTTCCACTTGTGTTATAGAACAGGTCAACTCCCCATCCTTGGACCAGCACTGATCCGCAGCATGCCAGAAACCAGTTCGCACAAACAAGTGAAGCCCCATCCATTGCAGCACACAAAATTAGGCCCACTCTCCATGGAACTGGTCCCTGGTGTCCAAAAGATTGGGGGCCACTGTTATAGAATATAGATTTGCCTCAACTTAGGCTAGTGTTTTCCAAAGATGGCAACTCTAGCTAATCCTGGCTAAGCTATACAATACACATCTTATAGCTGCCCTTTCTCCTTTAGAATGAAGTACATATTGGCCATATCCTGATCTGAATTTCTAATGCTCTTTCTACTCTTACCTCTTTCTTTAGAAAAATTAACTTACTGTATACTGCTGAGTTTTTTTTTTAAAAATTATATTTTTGTGAGGCAGAATTCTTCTAAACAAATGGACTAAGGGAAATGGGTAAGTTCCCGCACACATCTGGATCAGGCCTCAGTACAATTTCTCTTAAGTTAAAAAATAACAGAAAAACAGATGTATAATACACATTTGCCTCTTGGTTTTATTGGAAAATGAAGCTATTTTGACAAACATACATTAATAAAGAATTCTAGATATCATGATATAGTTCTTTATCCATTGGAAACAACTTTTATTCTATTGAATAATAATTACATATTATTCCTCATAGCCCCCTATGAGGTAGAAATGTCTGGATTAAAAGCAGACAACCAGTAATACAGAGTTTGTAACTGAACAAGAACATAACACCAAATGGCTCATAATGTATGTATAAACAGCATAAACCGGTTAAGTTTCAGAGTTCTTGCAACAAAGATGCACAAAAACTCATGACCATACAGCTCTTGAATACCTTATACATGCAAAATAATTGGTCACCTCACCACATGATGGCTTAGTAATTTCCACTATATATATTTTTCCACCTAAAATATTTTCTGTAAAGCACAGGTAGGCACACTTATTTTCAAGAACCATACATTTTCTCAGGGATAAACAGTAGGGGGCTGTGATAAGAATCCAAAGAAGGTAAGGACGTCCACTTTTTCTCACATACTGTTGTAGCCTTTGGGGGGGGGGCTTTTCTTCCCAGACATCTGACCCGATCCATTGCACAAAAAATGGAAATTAGCCTATGAGGCTTAGGTTATCTGCCCTGTTATAAAACATATATAAGAAAATAATGGCTAAGCTATTAAACTTCCTAGAAACCATTGTATTGGAAAATGAGGGGTGGGAAAATTAAGAATACTAGATGTGAAATCCTTATTTGATGCCTTTATATATCATTATTTTTTTCTTTAAAAAATGCAACTCTGGTACATGGGTAAGTTAAAACATTTCCATCCAGATTTGCTTCAGACAAATCCCTGCTTCAGATTGTTACTGGTTTTAATATTCAATTCACAACCAGATATGTTCTTTTCGATCTATAGAAAGATTATTCTGTTTCCTAGTTTCCATGTTTTCTATTCAGATTACTATCCACATCACTTTTTTTAAGGGGTGAATGGGACAGTTCATGTGGATCATAATCTAATCTAAATCTAGTGCCTGTATTCTGCCAATGGATAAAATTCTGTGAATTAGACTTCAATAACTACTGATACAATAGAGGTGGGTATCTTCTTTCACACATTTTAAATATTTTCCCTCATCGCTTTTGTAATTAAAGAAAAAATGGGCATGTAGCTTCAGATCATATTTTGCATCTTTTTGATTCTTAACCCAAGTAATGTGCACAAGAGTACAGATGTAGCATAATATATAATTTGGCCCCTATGTCACTAAGAGCAAATTCTGATTGAATCTTGTACCCGCCACTAAATTAGTCATTAGGCAGATTATAATCTAATCCTTTTATGTTTTGTTATAGAAGGGGAATATTGGAGGAATATCTTAGAAGAATACTACTGTAAATGCCGGCGTATAAGACGACCCCCGTCTTTATAGCCGGGCCGCATTCCTAGAAAGTCGTCTTATACGCCGGAAACTACCAGTATTTCCGGCGTATAAGACGACTCGGCGTATAAAACGACCCTCGTCTTTGGCACCAATTTCAGCGCTCGCGAAGTTGCCTTATACGCCGGCATTTACGGTATAAGGTTTGCAAGTGATACTGAGGAAGTGCTTTTGAACATTCTGAAGTGCTATAGAAGTGCTGTTATAAAAGCAACAGTGCATAAAAGTGCATACACTATCATTTTTAAACATTCATGCAATGGCAGTGTATCATATTTTATGATCCTGTCTTAGTATCTTATTTACATATTACTTCTTAATGTTTCAGTTCATTTAACATTTCAGTTAAGTTTGTCTGATTCTCAGCTGTATCTTGATAACTACAGACAGGAAAAAAGTTAAATGGCAGAAATTTTCCAATCATAAGGGGAGATGGATGGGAATGTCATGTTTTCTTCACTATTATGTAGTTGGTGAGTGAAGAGAGGCATCTGTCACCAAAGGGATTGACATAAATTTACTGAAGTAGAATTAATGATGGCTTTTGTTTTTAGTAGTTTTTCACCTGCATTCTTAGGCCCTTCTGGTTTAACTGCACAATACATGCTTTATTATACACATTAACTTCAAAATTTCATTTTTAAAGATATGTCACATTTTCTAAGTACTCAAACCACAAAGCTCTTTAATATGGAAAAATGAGACAATTCATACAGCAACACATTAGTGGCACAGAAAGGAAGAAGTGATTCATTGGCAACTGCTATTGTAACACACTTAAGAATGAGTAACAAAGTTCTCATCACAGAGTTAAACCTTTGATGAACTTTTGCTCACATACAAAGATCGATTTAGGGGAGGCAAATTTTTGGCAATATCGAATAGTGGAAGAATCTCTTCTTCAGTGGTTCCTTTAATAATTGTCATCAAATTCTACAGCAGCAAGGCTAGCCTGCAACAAAAACTAGTCAGCTGCAAATTCTTTATTTCAAACATGTTTTTAAATGAGGTGCTGTTGATTTTAATAGCTCTATTTTTACTAGAATTAAATTTGGATCCAATCCACTATACATATTTTTTTAAAACAAGCATTTATTCAATTTTTAAAACCTCTGAAAAGATATTTTCAATATTTAAGAGAATGGGCCAAATTCTTAGTTTCATACATACAGGAATAACTGGTTCAGGTTTAAATTAAATTCATAAAAAGATATTTATTTAGAAGTATCATAAATGCCATTTATCAGCACTGCATTTAGGACTGAAAGATATTGAGACAAGGTACACTATGGCCAATGTAACATTCTTGCATTTGGATAGAACATGGATTATTAGAACCAGCATTTAATCCATAGAGTCATTGTCAGTAACTCTAGTTCACATAAATCTAAAGCCTAATTTTGACATCTAGGGAGATAGTAAACTATTCCTAGATTGTATTAGTTGGAATGCTGGGGGGGGGGGCTCATAAGAGTTTATCACAACAATTTATAATACTCAAATATAGAAAACAAGACATCAGTGAAAAGATTAGGTTAGGATCCCTTTTGTTGTACTTTCTGTTTCTTAGGCATTTATTTGGAAATATGCAACATTTCATTATGTAAACCAAAGTTCTAAAAGTTATGTGCTGCTTATGATAGCCCAAGTCATGCCCATTTCCATTCAAGAAAACAGTAGTTTTTGTAACATGTCCAGCCACAATTTTTGTATAATAGTGAGGTACTTCTTTTCAGTTCTGTTCCACAGGATAAGCTACAAAGCACTTTTCAAGGAATTCTAACTCAACATTGCAGGAATCTCTCTGCTAGTTTTAAATTTGAAAGATTATTTTTCTCCACAATAATCATTCAAGGATACACAATGGCCATCTCAGCATATAATAGCACCTGCCTGGGTTTGAAAGCTAAGCGGAGGTGAGTCTAATTAAGATTGCAGAGGAAAACATCCTGAAAATACCAGGCTTTAAACTACCATAGAAGTAAACAAACAAATGCAACACTATCCTGGAAGAAGGCAATAGAAAATCACTTCTGTATTGCTATCAAGAAAATCAAGAATATCTATGAAGTCACCAAGAGATGTAACTTGGTCATTTGATATCCAGCAGTGGTCAAAATATATAGTGCTCCATTCACATAATCACCACTGATTATAGACTAGGTATCAGGCTACCTATGTGCTTAGTAAGAAACTTTTGTGAGCAGTAGCATCTTGGTAAATCTTCCATGTTATTTTAAAAAACATAGTATAGGGTTTGAATCAAGCCAAAGAATGTTTGAATGGTTTTTTAAAAAAATTCATTCCTTATTCAGCTGTTTTAGTACCTGTTTACTTATCCAAGGATAATACATATTTCTAAGAATATGTACCATTACCATACTTGTGTGTAAATAAATGTAACTATCTCAAGAGCTGCTCAGTAGGTCTGTTTTAAATTTAGAAAAAAATAGTACTTTCACTCAAGTATTTTTGGATGAGGGCACTTGAGGCACTACTTGTTCAAAAAAAAAAATACCTGAGATCTGAAACATAAACTTTATTTCTCATTCTATGTGAAACCAGAAACGTCCCTACTTCTATTACAGCCTCAAAGAGCTTAACATTAAAAAAAAAGTAACTGAAAAATATTCTCATTAAAAAGAGGGAAAGGTCCCAAACACACACATACACACATGCACACACAAATGCCCAAATACACCTCTTTCACCTTCCTAAAATGCAACTAAAATGTTTGTATAATATGTTTGATTTACAAACTGTACAAGAAACAGTTTCTAAAAGCCATTCATCTTAAAAGAAGTGAAATATTTCCAAAAGGTCGTATTTCATATTATGTTAGGTTGATGTCTGGTCAATTCTCATCATCACGTCCATAGTGAATAGTCTGTATTTCCTGAGCGATGAATGAGGCCATCTCCTGGGTACCTGCTGCTATTACGCGACATGACATCAGATCTAAAGGTCCACCTAGGAGAAAAATTTATTGAAAAATAGTTTAGATGTTTCTTTTGTGATGAAGACATCAATTCTTTGTGTAGTCCACTATGTGCATTTATCTGGGATATATATATACGAACAACATTACTAAACTTTATTCTGATATGCAAAGTTTCTCATTCTTGCTCCTTCTCCCTTCAGAATCCCTTTCACCTAAGCTCCATAGCAGTGCTTAGAAATCCCAAATTTTTCTTTTGAGTGTTGGTCTTTTTTTCCTCCTTCCAGAAGAAGGTGGAGAACTAGTATGAATAGAACAGGGGTTGGCTGAAAAATAAGGCAGACATTTCCTGTCCTAAAGTCCATCTTGATATCACCCAAAACACTTGTGGGATACATGTAGGAAGTCTTGCTTTGAGCCAACCTGACTTTCCTGTCATAATAATAAGCCATTAGGGACTGCAACTGTACAATAAGAAGCACAGTATCTGCAAACTTTTAAAATTGTACATTAAACCCCTAGAACAGAGGCCCCCAACCTTTTGGGCACCAGGGACTGGTTCTGTGGAAAAAGATTTTTCCATTGACCAGAGGTGTGGTTTTATGTGCTGTCTGCATCCCGCAGATGGGGCTTTGGTCGTTTATGCGGCCTGGTTTCTGGCATGCTGTGGCCAGTGCCGGTCCATGGACTGGGGGTTGGGGACCCCTGCCCTAGAATACAGAATGGCTTTCCTACATAGGTTGGCTTTCTTCCTTCCCCATTTCTAAGGCCCCCAATGTGGACTCACACTTTTCTGAACATTCTTTCCTAAAGGCTGGACTTCCAGGAAAGTCTAGAATGAGATTGTGGCAAAAAAAAATAAACTTTTGAATTTGAAGGAGTGGTATCACGTGCAAATCATACTTTGTACTTCTTAAAATATATTTGCTTACCTGATGTATCTATCACAACTCCACCTGCCTCCCTGATAATAACAGTAGCTGCTGCCAAATCCCAACAATGTAAGCCAAACTGGTAATATGCATCTGCAGCCCCAGATGCTAAATGACAGAGTGCCAAAGTAGCACTTCCAATAACACGAACCCTACGATAAATGTTGAAAAAATTGCAAATAACATTAAACCCTAGCTTTGCTCATAATGTAGTGATTGTGCAGTGACATACATTTCCAAATATTGGACTCAACATTTTTACTTGTTTTACAGATTTTTATCCTTAATGCCCAGTATGAACATGATATTTTACACAGACAACACTTTCTTTAAAGAGCCCAGTGCAATAAAGATGAAGAGGGAAGCATGCATTAAATACATTTTATAGTCTAACATTATGCCAAACACAGCTTATTTTTGTGATGGAATTCATGAATTCAGTGCAAAAAACGAGACTGTGATAGCACTACAGCAAATATACCTCAGGGGTCGAATTCTCTTGATATACGAGGGGTGCTATTGATGGCACAGTCCATATATGCATTTGAATACCTATGAAACTGTTGATTTGGCTGACTGGATTTCTGACTGCTATACTTAACCGAAATATTATATTAACAATTTTCTTGTTACTAAGTTTATTAATTTTCCAGGAAACAGAATTACCCATGTGCCTGTGCCTTTAGCAATCGTTCCATGTTACTGAGAAAGACTTTTAGAGTATCGGGATCTCGCTTTGGACCAATCTCAGTTAAAATCAAGGCTTTTGTGATATCTGTAAGAAAAATAATAGATATGTATTAAGGCAACAGCTTATTCTAATTTCTTTTATAGAGTTCTATATCTTTGGATGCAGAAATCATTTTCAAGAAGTCTTTTTAGAGGCAAAACCCACAGCTGATCTTTGAATGGCATGCCAGAGACCACAGCAAAAAATTAACACTAAACTTGATTTCATTTATGGTAACATTTAAATACATTTAGAACCATACTAACAGTACAATTTCATGGAGTCAAACCAAATGCCTGCTGATTAAATGGACATGTCTACATTGTTTTCTTGGTTGCAGTTTGGAAGTAGCTTTCCATTGTTTTCTTTTGGTATGTTTTTTTTTTAACTTCACAATCTAATCTATAGCATGGGATTTCATACTGGTCTCCTATCCAAAAATCCAACTGTTCACAATTACAACTGTGTTGAAAAAAGTAACTTTATGACGAATCCCTACATTTATGACATTTGCAGATCTGTAAAGCAAAGGAAAACTGAAGAAAATAGTAAGTAGTCATGATTTTACTTAGTGACTGATTTATCAAATGTTACTAATCCCGGTTATGATTACTAAACAAGGACTACCTGTTCTTTTATTGCCATTCTAGAACTGAGAAATAAATCTTTGTCCCATTATATATCACAAAAAATCCACAGCATTTGATCACTCTAGTCAAATGGCTGGCTCAGGAATTCTGGGAGTTGAAGTCCACGAGTCATAAAAGAGCCAAGGTTGCCTACCCCTGCTCTAGTCTAACCCTAGGTCTTTACTTGGACTGGTAGACTTAAAGTTATGAGATTCAAAGGCCATGTGATTTAAATTTTAGATCTTGTAATAAAGATAATAAAACAGAGTGGAAATGTCAGATGCAAATGATATATATTTTTGAGAAAGAAAGGTGAGACAACACAACAGCTTAATAAACTTTTGTACAATATCCATTGCTATTCTAGAAATAGATGCAAAATACTTTAGGGTGAATCACTGTATTGGGAGTTTTGAACTATTTCTTATTAGCACGCATATACTATTTACAATATTAGATGTTATTGCACTCAATAACGGGAGGCCTCTAGGCAGATTGCAAAGTGATTTACGCAATTCAAACCAAACCAATTCATGTGTACGCATTTACATATGTACATACTCCAGTAAAATGCAAAATGTGGAACAAATTAATGCATAAATGTCTGGGAGAACAGGAATGTCTTCTAATTCATCCTTACAAGACCAAATTAGTAATTACGCTCTTAAAGTTATACAATAATAAGACAACAGAGGTCGTGAACATTAAAGAAATTGTCTGAACTCTGTGAACTGCCAGGGAAATCTGTTAAAAGGTGGTTTTACACTGTATCTCCAGAACAATATAGCCTGTTTTTCATAATGTCCTTGTAACAACCATAGCATAACCCTAACCCTACTTTTGGCTCACTTGTCTGCCAGTGAAGATATACCCAGCTGAGGGCATCCATAGCAAACTGAGACTACAACAATGCATGGTGACATCAATAAGAGAATCTTCCTGATATACTTGTGTCCCAGTGCCTGATGCAAAAGTATAAGTTGAAATTTCTGTATCGTGAGATCACAACACATGATTTGTCACTTGCCCTCCATCCCCCACTCTGGGTGCCCAGACACCTAGCAATAGGATTAAACAGAGCTTAATTTTAGTGGAGCTGAATTTATAGTGATTTAGCAAAAATATTATTAAACTGAATTAAGAAAAAGTAGGCATTACCTAGAAGATACATTAATTTTATCTAAAATTAGTGACAACTCTATTATATATATATATATATATGCATAAATTTTATAGTGTTTACAAAATCTAAACCAACCTGTCACTTTTGACACCTGAAGCCTTTTGCCATTACAATATGACCCTTGACCTCTTCTACCAGTGTATAATCGTTCTTCAATGCAGTGATAAATTACACCAAATTCAAGCTTTAGGTTTTAAGAAAAGAAAAGGAACATGAATGCAATTTGCATTATATCAGTATAAACAAATCTCTTTTAACTGCATAAGATTGCAGTTTACACTATTTTAATTATCCCAAATATTCCTTATGATAAAAGCTACAGGAAATTAAATATATCATCCCCTTATATAATGGCTAATTTTTACATCATAGTTACTAAATGAGAAATACAAGAAATGTCTTCTGCAGAGTACTCACTGCAAGCATAATCACTTATCAGATGTGTTCCATCATCCTTGTCTTGAATTCTCCATTGCCTATCGCCTACTATCAAGACGTATGATGTATAATTCACCCCAAAGCAATTCTCAGTTTACAGAATATGAAGGGTAATTGTGCTTCCAAAGTTTGCACAATCCAACGTTTTTGCTACCACAACATTTTTATGGCTTTCAACATTGTCTAGTAGCGAGGGTGGATGTCAGGTGAGCAAAGTGGGCAAATTGAGGTAGGGAGAAAAGGTACTGGTTATTTTTTGTAGGGAAACTCAGTTCAATGGATTGCCTGTTCTAAAGGAAAAGCATAAAAGCCATATACTGGCTACCAACATTGTTTCTAGAAATCCAGACAAATATTCTACAGTAACATGAGATGATAGAGAATACAGAGAGCTATTAATCCTGTGATTTAACTGATAGACCAGGGGTAGTCAACCTTGGCTCTTTTGTGACTCGTGGACTTCAACTCCCAGAATTCCTGAGCCAGCTGGGAGTTGAAGTCCACGAGTCATAAAAGAGCCAAGGTTGACTACCCCTGTGATAGACAGTACTGCTGGTCTATGATTGCAATAAACTGATTTGATTCATTGATTGGTCATTTGCTTAAGCACTATGCCACTCCTAAAAGCATAAACTTTGCAAGTGTATCTCACAGATTGCAATTTAGTGTAAGGAAAAAGATTTAGGTTAAGGAGTACTTCTGTAATTGTTTCTTTGCAACAGTGTTCTGCATGGCTAGAACACATATATTTTTACTATCGAAAACATTTTTAGTAAAGAGAAGAATCACTAATATTTTTTATGTAAAAAAACATCAAAAGGATGGTTTGAATATTATAAGTAGGTTTATGCACTGAAATCTATATTTCCACAAATATCACAAAATAAATTGGAAAAATGTTGTATAAGATTTATTCGGGTGAATTTATTAAATCTGGTTTTCTTTTCATTTTTTAACACTAACGCCTAACAAACTTACAGAACATTATTTTATACCTCTTGGTTGACAGCAAATCCAATGCTAACAGCTACAGTTGGAAACCTGTGTAAATAAATACATTATATATGTTAATAAATTTTCTGAACAATGACTTTTACCATATCAACACTGTGATAGTGTTTGTTCATTGGTTCTCAGGTAAGAAATCTTACTTTTTTTATATTTAGAGATAAAATTCTAAATTTGTCCTAAAATTTTAATTGTTGGAAAACTGATTTGCATTCTGACCCTAAAGGACAGTTTTGTGACTTTTCCAATGATTAATTATCTGATTCTCAGAAAGTTCCCCATTCTTTAAATCTTAGGAATCTACGCAACCAATTAGCTGTTGCTCCTATTCCCTGCTGCCATCACAGGATATTGTCACACCAGAAATAGACTGAGAGAGAGGAGCAGCTGCTTTTCTAGAATAAATGTTAGAGTTCAAAAGTAATTTTCTAACAACTGCTGCCACCTTATAACTTGAGAACATAAATATTATTTTTCCTTCCATAACTTTCAGCCCAATTTCCCAAATTATTTCACCATGCAGCATTGGGTAAAAAATAGGCCTTTTAATACATTCCATTAGGAAGTATTTTATGAACCAAAGATTGTAGACTAATGAAAATTCCCTCCCCCCCCCAAAAAAAATAGGATTCAAGATGATCCAGAATATGACAATTTAATACTCAACAGACTAATTTGTTAAAAGAACAGCAATTACTGAAGTAGGTCAAATTAATGATCTGATTTTTGCTGTTTGATAGTTGTATATATAATTTATTTTACAAATACATTTGATACAATCCTGTGCACAAATTTGCTTGTTGCAAAACAGGCAAATAGTTGTAAGCTCCGTGTCAGGCCCAAAATCAAGAATGACACATAGTGATCCTTCCAAGGTGAGTTCTTTATTGTTTCTCACCTATAGACAAAATCTTGCCAGACTGAGCATTTTACTGTTTGCATGCACAATATACTCCGTAGCTATTATGGAGGGGCTGTCTTTAGCCTCTTTCTCCTCCACATGATATGTCAACTGTGTTGCCTCTTGCTTCTCCGGAATGTAGCCTTTCCTCCTGGGAATCAATCTCCTTCTATATTTTAACACACTCTATGAAACTAGAAGGGATTCAACACGCATAGAAATTCAATTGATACTTCACGGATTTAAAGATGCTTGACAATCTGTCTTGTGTCATTTGACACAAGGTTTTCACTGTGTCCTTTACCTATGTACGAAATTGCAAGTGCCATCAACAGGATCAATAATCCAGGTTGGACTGTCATTGAGTATGCACTTTGAACCTGCAGCAGTAGCTTCTTCAGCAATAAACCTAACATTGGTATAGACAAGACTCAAATTAAAAAAACTTAGAATTAAAGGAGCATTTGAAGCAGTTGCAGATGTATTGTTTAATAAAATAGGTTCATACCTGAACAGCATACTAGGAATTAGCATAAAAACGTTCTCTGTTACATATATCTTTAAATAAAAGAAATTTAAAACATCGTGATCAAAAGATCTCAAGAAGGCTTAAGGGACAAAGTTCTTATACACATGCCAACATGAATGAGAAATCTACTTATTTATGCAAAAATGCAATGACTGCTTCTTCATCTTTCTCTGCAACATTCCTCTTTTGAATGACAGCCAGAAGAACATTTACAAAGTGTATAAATCACAGGCTTTTTCTTTGAACTATGTACAAATTGAAGCAAAATGAGCTGTTTCCTCTGGTAGAATATGCTGGAGGGAGAGTGTTCAGATTATGAATAAAAAGCAGTTTCCTGCAGTTCTTCAGAAATTTGTAAGATTGTAATCCCAGCCCATCCCTCTTGTAAACAATAATTAAAAAACAAAAACAAAACATTAATAATTGCCCAAAGAAAGTCTAGATCAGTGGTGGTGAACCTATGTCACACATGCCAGAGGCAGCACTCAAAGCCCTCTCTGTGGGCACGCGCGCCATTGCCCCAGCAGAGTTCTCTGGAGTAGTGAGCACGTGGCATTTGGAAGCGACAGGGCAGGAAGTGAGCAAGCAAGTGGCGTTGGTCCCCCGGAGATGCCCCGGAGATGGCTAAGAATTGGCCCATACCACCCTAGCCCTGGCCACGCTCACCCAGTCTGCTGTGATCACTGCAGCCATGCCCACCCAGTGGGCCACGCCCCCCACGACCCCCTGAGGGCACCACAATGCTGATCCAGCCCTGGCACTTTGCAATAAATAAGTGGATTTGGGGTTGCAGTTTGGGCACTCGGTCTCTAAAAGGTTCGCCATCACTGGTCTAGATTGTAACCATCTATAACTGGAACCTTACAAGGAAACCTTAAAGCTGGATTTAAGACAACAAAGACTAGAGAATTAAAACAAGAACGACACAATAGAAATTGGCAAACATTCATTTTAGAATAGTCTGAAAATGTCTCTGTGCCCCTAGCTCAAACTAAAATAGGTGAATAGTCTTATAAAGAGATATATTTTTACTATACTCTGCAAGTGTATGAAAAATTTTACAATCTCTGTTATGCTTTGGACAATAATATTCTTGCCACTATTTCCTCTAAATGTTCTCAAAAGGTGTTGTAAGGTTAATCATATACACAGCTATTACATAATATAATTTAAGTGTAATGAAAGACCTAAGACCAAGAAATAACAGTCTCAAATCCCCACTTATCGATTAAGCTCATGGAATGGAGAACTTGGAGCAAGAGACTTTAAAATGAAGTCAAATGTATTTATTAGGCACATATTTATAAAGTTAGTTACTATAAATATAGCTCAGTGTTTTTCAAATTTCACAATTTTAAAGTGTGTGGAATTCTAACCCTGTGAATAATTCTCCTTCAAATTTTCAAACTTAAAAAAGCAAAAATGAAACTGTTGGAAAAGGTGACTCTTCTAATTGTTTACCTCCGCTCCTCCTGGCTCTGCTTTCATCTGATGAAGTTCTAGGGACAAAAAAATTGGTCTCTACAAATTTCCTAGGACAGGGGCCCCCAACCTTGGCAACTTTAAGACCTGTGGACTTCAACTCCCAGAATTCCCCAGCCAGTAGGTTTTAAAGTTGCCAAGGTTGGGGACCCCCGTCCTAGCATATTGGTACACTTAAGAGACGTTTGTAGCAGAAAAAGTCAAACAGTCAGTTGCTGACAAGAATGGTGGCTGAAAATCCATTTCTAGGTATAGCTTTTCAAATCTTCTGCCATAACCTGGAGAAATCTTTTATCTATCTATGGCAATGTTTTTCAAACTTGGCAACTTTAAGATGTATGGATTTCAAATCCCAGAATTCCCCAACCAGCAGAGCTTTGGAGTAGTAGAGATAGAGCTGTTGAAAAAGCCACATTATTCAACCATTTCATTCTTGCTTAATTTATGTCTGAAAATTTGAAGCAGAATTAATCACAAGGATTAGAATCCTGGCTAAAATGAGCAAACTTGTTCATACAACAGAAGCAGCTTAAAAGCACTCAAATAAAAGAAAAATAAACTAAGCTAACAAACCATTTGTGCAAACCACCTTAACCATAATATTATCATCCAGGTTCAGAGAGTGGATGCAACCAAATTCCATTGGGGCACAGTATGTTTAAGAACCAGATCATTATGTGGCAACGTAACACAACCAAGGCTATATCTGGTTATTGCCAATCTATACTCTCCAGAAAGTTTCTGCATGTGAAACATGCTTGTTTTGTTGAAATGAAACATCTGTTCACCTAATTATGATCTTCATTCATTCAAAAATTACCAGTAGAATAATGTCATGGCCAGACATACCTGTGAGAGGGAAACTTTTCTTTCAGTGCAGAAACAATTAAATTTTCCACCAAGTGGTCAGTTTCAGTCACAAGATCTGCTGCAGATGTTTTGGTAGATACCTGCTTTTCCTCAGTGAGAGCTTTTCTAATGATCTAGAAAGAAAATATTATACATTGTTTTACAGATTTTTCCCATTATTTCTGAAAAACTGCATTAAATTCTCAATGGAAATAAGCAATATAATTCTTCGTTATGCACACAGTAACTTCTAAAATGATATCACATGTAAAGTACAGCATTTTATTCCAGAAGATTCTGGTGCTGATTAACATAATTATCATATTTTTCTGTTAAATTTTCTTCAATAATGGTTGCTGTTTAGATGCCAGATTTTTGCCTCAAAATTAGGACACTAACACTTTGTCACTGTATAAATGTATACATTATGAATTCAGTAACTGCTATATTAGAATTTCAATCGCACGTGTTTTTAACAAAAGCTATCAGAAGAAAATATTTTGCACACTATCACAACGACAAAAAATGGACTGCTTTTGACTTAACTGAGTTGAAATAAGTTAAACTGGTTAAATTAAGATTGAACTGAGTCCAGAATTTGGTCCTTAATGAGTGTATAGTGACATGCTATAATTTTATACAGTCTGTACCATGGAAATTGTTACTATAAAAACAATTTTGGTTTCTGCTAAAACTATTATATATACAATTTTCTAGAGACTAAAAAAATGGGCCAAACAGGATATACATGATACAAAAATATAAAACTTATAATTTCTTCATTGTTTGCTTCTCCTTATATTGCCAAATATTATCTTTTAATTCTTTGCACTTTCTTTCAGAGTAAATTATTAAGTGAGGCAAAAAGGACCATTGCACAGTATCCAAAAATGACTTACAATACAAATTCCATTCTAAAGGCATGTAAGTAGAAATATTTTTAAAGTAAACTCAAGGGAAACGGAAGGTCTTTAAAAGAGCAAGGAGAAGCTAAGCATGACTGAAAGCATCTGTTATTTCACAGGAATGTAAAGAAAGTGCTGGAGCTGTAATCTTTATTTAAAGTCCTTATTTGAAAAAATCCTACAAACATACAGATATTTACCTGACATAGTGATATTCCCGTGGATTTCAAACAAGGCATATTTATTTATGACATTCTGGATTCATGGCCATTTACATAAAAACATAAATATAGTTTCAATATTCAGTAAAAGTAAACCCACTCCCAATTTGAGATTTAGAGAACTGTGAAATAGGATAATCTTAAGTGCCCTCCGAAAGGCTGTCAGGGAAGTTATGGCTGGGAACCTCTGTGCTAACACTGGGACATATTCAGAGAAGCATTATACTGTTGCTTATACTCTTGCCTATCTTAAGTAGGTGATCCTGCAGCTGCCTTAAAACCATACAATAAAGGGTTAACACCAGCTACCCAGAAAGGAACAGAGGCATTATAAAACAGTGCCTCCATCTCCCAGTTCTCTTAAATGGTCCAGAAGAATACAATGGTTGATGGTACTGAAGGTTATTGTGTGACCTGAAAGAACCAGGATGGGTACACTGAGATCATGATGTAATTCATCTCTCAGACTAATATGGTATCTGTCCCATGCCCAGGTCAAAATCTTGATTAGGGTCTGGATTATCCTTTTCTACCACACTCTCAACAACGTGAAAGGAGGAGCTAGAGCAGTGGTTCTCAACCTGTGGGTCGGGACCCCATTTGGGGTCGAACAACCATTTCACGGGGGTCGCCAAACAACGCAGTCCACCATTTTTCCCCCTTTTCCTTAGCTGTGCTACTCCCTTTTATTCTATTGGCTTTTGAAAGCCAATAGAATAGACTCTCTTGAATAGAGTCTAATTCTATTGGCTTTCAAAAGCCAATAGGAATTGTCCAGGCTGTCTCTGCCTGCTGAGCCCGCCAAAAGTCCCATTCTGCAAACGGTGCTGCACCAGTTGAGTAGTCCTCGACTTACGACTGGTTGAGTAGTCCTCGACTTACGACCGGTTGGGGGTCGCGGCATTAAAAAGGTTGAGAACCACTGAGCTAGAGCCACAATTGGTTGGGTCTGGGGGGGGGGCTCTTCAGGAAAGAGTACACCATTGTCAGGATAAAGGACATAATCACATTGTTCAATAATACATGGACTACTGAACCCCATGCATTCTCCTATGCTTTCTAAACAGCCAAATGGAACATGGACTAGGTTACATGTGTAGATCAGGCATGTCCAACCAGTGGTCCTGGATAGCGAGTAATATGGCTCCAAGATAGTAAAAATATTAAAAATAAAGGAGATTTGTTATTTATATACATTAAATATATATATTATAAGTGGCCCAAGACAATTCCTCTTCACTCAGCGTGGCCCAGGAAGCCAAAAGGTTGGACAATCATGTGGTGGACCATTTTCCACAGATCATCCTATATACTTCTTCAGAATTAAGAAGCTGAAATGAATCTTAAGTTACCCTCACAAGAGCTAATCCAATCACGACCCATTCTGTGCAGAGTCCAGACCAGAGGGAATTTGAGTAGTTTTATGTATAAAATCTTGCCCTAGAATCTCACGTGGCTTTCAGAGAAAGCTTCTGCTTTGTGTCCCTCAAAAGGATGCAAGTAACTGTATAGAGGGCTGCAGAGGCACCATCTGTAATCACAATAAGAAGCATTACTTTGCCATCCTTTTGCCATCAAATATGAACAGTTACTTGTATCTAATCCTATCTGCTCTTGTTTTTTATCCACTAGTACTCTAGGTATCTCTTCTGCCACCTTGTCCCTTGGAACTAGCATGCAGGAATAGTCCAGGATGGCCAGGATTTCATACATAAAATATGGAATTAGCAACTGGTTAGAGGTGATTTCATCAAGTGTTCTGGTTACTTCAATATTCCAAAAATTGCTCAGGTGCTCAAAACAGCCATTTACCAGATTATTCAGCATAATCCTAAATGCTCTCTGAAATCCATTTAAATTCATTAGGCACTGGACTAGATTATCCAAATACTGCTGGTCCTGTCATCCTACAGAGCCTCTCGACAGTGATGAGACTCATAACAAACAGGGAGCAATCTAACTACAGCAAAGATTTAATCTTTATCTTTCATTATCAGATGATATGTCAACTGCTTGAGGATGAATACCATACCTAGTACAACACCAAGACTGCCTAAAGCAGTGGTGGCGAACCTATGGCATGGGTGCCAAAGGGGCACTTGGAGCCCTCTCTGTGGGCACATGAGCCGTTGTCCCAGCCTTGCCTCCCCCATGACCCCCTCACCAGCAGGCCCCCTGGAGAGTCGCCCCCGAGCGTGGCCCACGCGCAGCAGTGCAGCCAAGGATGTGACAGCCAGACAGAGTAGACAAGACTCTGCCTTCACACCCCATCGTGCACAGTTACTGCTGTGGGTCGTGGGCAGAGGGTGTGGCCGCCATGGTGCTGCTGGGCGATCTGTGGCGGGCCCTGAAGGCGGTGAGTGGCCCTGTGGGCAGGCAGGGTGGGGGGCGGCGCACCTTTTTGGGCACTCGGTCTCTAAAAAGTTTGCCATCACTGGCCTAGAATTACCATGAAGTTCAGGATATGGAGGGCTGAAATCTCCCAAATGAAAAGCAATGAGCTTTCTACCTCCTGCTCTCCAATGAGCTCTAAGAGCTCACAAAAACACTCTGCTGTGCAACAAGCAAAGTTCCTAATTTGCCCAAAATCACAAATAGGCATGCACAACTTGTCCTTTCCAGACCAAACCCTTTGGTCATTATTAATACCAGACAATCATTGCTACCCAAATCACCTACTGGATCACTTGCTAATGAGGACCTGAAACATGGCAGAGCAGATTTCCAAGAGGGCAATATCACAAATCACTGTCAACCCCAAGTCCCAATACTGTATACCAAACTGTGGAGAAATATGTTCTTATTCTGTATAAATTTGGCATAACTCATCAAAAAGTTTCCTGGGCTGAAGAACCTGGCCTCTTTTTAGGTACACAATATTAAACTCAATTGAAAATATAGGAACACATGCAAAATGGGATATTCAAGTTATCCAACTGCTATTTGGAAGGCCACAAGTAAAATCCAGTTCATGGACAGTCATCATCATAATCAAAAAACATTTTTTGTTATGTTTCAAGAGTTAAACGAACTTGTCAGAAATATACAGGATATGCAAACCACATTTCCTTTCTTCCCTACTATTGCTACAGAAAGGTAAGATAGCAACATAACTTAGGTTTCAGCCTCAGGCAACTACTCTAAGCATATGCTATTAATAGCAAGTAAACTTTGCCCTATAAAGCAACAAAGGAGTTGCAGTAGTTGGCAACTCATCACTTTGAAAAACTAAAAGAAATGATACTGACCAGACTCTTTGATTCATGAAGTGTGTCATCTGACAGGCCCAAAGATCAAAGACATGACAAAACAAGATTTATCAAATCCACTGATAATAGGCTTTTCCTGCTAATACATGTGGGTACAAAAAGTTCTGCAAAAAAACAGCTACAACTATATTGCATGAGATTTTGAAAATCTTGGAAAGACACTCAAGATCCGCAGGGCTCAGTGATATTCTCATCTGTCCCTTCAGTTCATGAAAAGGACTGTAAGGGGAAACAATACTATAAATCAGTAGGGGGTATTTGATTTCCGGGACTTTTGTCTAAATCATCCAGGTGACATATTGTTGGCAGAAGATGGGTGATACTTCATTAGGACTGTAAAAATGTGTTTGACAAAAGGATGATAGATGTAAACAAAAATCCTGAAGGGCTTCATGTAAAGGCTTGTACATTGTAAGAAGAATTAATGTTGCCAAAATGGGGTTTTTAAACCATTCAAAAAACAAAACAAAACAGAATGAGGAATAAACCTCATGGTCATTGTTGTCTATACATTAATGTTAAGAGCCTGGGATATAAGACAAACTTGGACTCTCAGCAGAGAGTCAAATACGATAAAATAAGCACAACAGAGAACCACTAGGATGACTTTATCACTGTAAAGTAAAATATGTTTATTGAGTATAATAGAGACTTGGTAGGATGGCTGTATTCCTGGAATAGAGCAATAGGACATAATTTGTTTGAAAGGAATAAAAGTATAGAAAAGGAGGAGTGTGCTTTGTGTTAAAAAAAACATTCTTGTTCAAAAATGACATATAAAAGCAACAATGTGTTGGTGTTGGCTAACCCAACCCAACCCAAACTAAACAGCTATTTACTTGTAATGTTAAATGTGGATTTGTACAGAACAGGGAACTGGATGCAAGGGTATAAATATCATAATATTGTACTCCATCATTATAGGCCCCCCTCCAATAAAATTATATGCTTTTGCAGTAGACACTATCACTATGTAATTAGCAAAATGAGTAGTTGATTTTATCTCTCCTAAGAGGTTACTGTTTACTGGACAGTTTAAACAGAAGAAAAACTAAAATAAGAAATGTTGTGATCATTCTTATTTGGGAGAATAGAAATATTGTGTCCTTTCTTAAATTTAGTGTGCAGGTGTAAAAAACTAATGTAGGAAGAAAGCACTTATAAAAACACACAGTAGAGAATTTATTATTCAAATGACTATTACTATTTTTTATTTATTTATGGCAGAGTTTCCAGTGATCCTTATTTTTCCTTTTTAAGACATAATTTCATGCTGAATGTTAAGAGCTCAGTTTTAAAAGCACTTAAAACCTGAAATATCAAGGTTCAGGTTCTTCCTCAATTATGGAAACTCACTGGATGATACTGAACTGAGAGCTAATTGTACAGAGTTGTCATGAAGAAAACATGAGAAATTCACCATCCTATCTCCTAGAAAGATTGGATCTAGATCAAGGTCCCCTAAGTTGTTAATATCAACACTCAAGGATTGATGGGACAACACAGTATTATTATTCATTGCAGTGCTGTTAGTTAAATTCGTATTTATTATTTTCATATAATAAATATGTGTCAATGAACAATCTGAAACTTCATGAAGGGGTAAATGAGCTGAAGAGCTCAAGACCACTCATTATAGATCTATAGAGAGAAAACATTATATTAACCCTTCAAATAATGTTGTGTAAAGGTGAAAGTAAATACGCTGAGTCCACTTTGTGATTTATTTTACTTGTATAGCTGCATTTCCTAAGTTCCAAATATCCAATAAAAATGAGCATCTGTACCAAACAATGACACCAAAATGATAAAATATATGCCTATACCCAAGTTTATTACAGAGCACGTTCTCCTATATGTGATCACCACATTCTTTTACAGCTTATCCTAAAGGAACATGTAGAGTGCAGGTTTCTGCCCTCATTCAGGAGTAACTGAAACCTAATGAACTTGATGTGTTTGCACCCAAATCAACATAAGGGCAACCATGCACTTCTTCTCCAACCTGATCCCCTCCAGACACAAATCTCTGAAAAAGAGCTCAGTGCATCTGAAGGGATCCATGTTGGTGAAGGCTGGCTTGTGCATTGGTAGGTCCCAAGATCTGCACACAGCTGCAACTCAGGTTAGCAAGAAATCTCGACATAAATCTTACAAAAGGCAGAAGGAACAAAGCGCAGTGCGGAGCCTCCTTAGTTTACAGATGCCCCCAAATGGGGGGGGAGGAGAGCCAAGAAAGTTTTCCTACTAGGGTTTGCTTGCTCTCAAGGCTCCACGTGTGGCCTGAACTCGAAGCCCCTTATACGACAGCCATCCCCACCCGCACGCTCACCTGTCCCGCCTGGAGCGCGAGCTGCACCGCCACCTCCAGGCACCCTTCCCAGGGGTCTTTTCCGCCGGCGGCCGCCTTGCCTAATCCTCGCTGCCCGCTGGGGTTCATGATTACCGCCGCTCCTCCTCCTCCGCCTCCTCCTCCCGCGTTTGCGAGGATCTCCGCGGAAATAGGAAAGGGGGAGGGAATTGGTGCGGCAAGTCCTTGAACTTTCTCTGGCGCTCCGGGGGCTTCCCTCGCTCGGGCTAAGGAGGGGGTTGTTTACTTCAGCCCCGCGGGGCGCCTCCTCCGCACTGCTGAAGCCTCCCCCCTGCCGCTCTTCCTGCGCCGCGACCACTAGCCCTCGCTGCCCTCTCGCCTTCCCTGTGGCACCTCGGTCGCCGGTACAGAGGAAGGCGGGAGAGGCTCCACTGACACAGAGCCCGCCTTCCTCAGCCGACTGGCCATGCTTTCCGCCCGTCTAGAGGAGAAACCGCCTCTCTCCGCGCCCAGCGCTCTTGCTGACACCTAATTTTAGGACATTGCGCTCAGGCTGGTTCCTCACGTAGCTAGCGAATCACGGGCGCGGGTGGGCGTTTCTAGGGCAATAGGATGTGATTCACAGGAAGTTCCTCGCTTCTTCTTTTTTTTTTTACACCCCCCCCATTCATCCCCCCCCCTTAAAATTTGAATCCGGTCTTCTTTTCGCTTTTTCACCCTCTGGGAAAGCAGCGTTTGTGCTGCTTTGCAGGTCATTTTTTTGCAAGACATCTTCGGATGCTGGCAGTGCAGTTCTTGAAAGTTCGCATTTCTCCCGCTAGTCTGAAGTTCTTGTTGTCAAAGACATTTCGTTTCCATTATTTTTGATTGCAGAAATTAATATCCACCCTTTTAAATACAAATTCCTCGCCTCAGAAAACTGCGTAAGACCAGCTGACAGCTAAAAAGCGAATTCAGGTTTTCCAAATGTAGGCTTTTTGCTAAAATGATTAAATTATGATGTTATTACTTTTTTACTGAGGGGTAAGATAATATTTCTCTCGATGAAACTATTAACCTTATTTTCTCCAAGAATGTTCTTTCTAAAAAGAACCAAGAAAGTTAAGGCTCCTCTCCCGCCGTTCTGTAATTGGTCAGATCCTCCAGACAAAATCGGCTTATAGGACATTTATCCAGCGCGCAGAAAAGATTTGAGTTCAACGAGCACAAGGCGAGTCTTTTACTATCTTAAATTAATTTTAAATTAATTAAAACTAGTGAATGGTAAGCAAGTAAACTGTAATATCAATGTTAGTTGGAATACTGATTTACTTCTTTTTCATATTTTAAACGAATTTATTACAAATAATGACCATCCACACAGAAAAAGTGTCAAGTTGGAAGTAAATCTGCCCTTTATAAAGAGTAAACAAATTTCTAGGAACTGGTCCTGTTGGATAATCTAATACTGTTGTAAGTTGAGGACTACTTGTACAAATGATTTTTCTTCCCAGAGGTGTGGATGGGTGTACTTTGGAAAGATGATTTCCTTTTAATACAAGTTGTGGAAGTACATTAGCACTAACTACACTATGAGAACTTTTTTTCAATGAATTTGTAAGCTTTTTTCTTATAGTGATTAGTCTGAAGAGTTTTCTTCTTTTTATTTCAGATGTAATACATTCCTCACCATTCAGTTATAACTGAAGAAGCTTCTTGGATGAGAAGTGAAATGTTTTCAAAGAAAAAAAAAAGTCCAGTCGTGTTTTGGAAAAAGCATCTTTGTGGCAACCACGAGCTGGATGATTGAGAATCTCCATAGATGACAGAGTATAATGTTGGTCTTGAAATCACATGCTGAAAGTCGCACTGAGAATTACAAGTTTTATCAAAGGTTCTTATAAATGCTAAGAGTTTTAAAAAAGATTCTAAATATTGTTTATAAAATAGGAATATGAATTATAGACAAAACTATATATTCATTCCATTTTTTGCTGTACTTTTGTTTATTTCAGAGTTAATTGTGTTAATTGTGTTTTTTCAAATGCTAGGCAGAGCCTTCTTATGCTCCGGGTGACTACATGGACATATCTCTGAAGTATTAGGTATGTTCACCACCTTGAATTACTTATAAAAAGTAATAAAGGCAGCATAAAAGTATAGTAAATAAATAATACTAATAAATAAGCGGTTTGTGCCTGATTTCTTTCAATATGTTTTTTGACTTACTAGTCCAGCCTATAGCTCTAGAATTTCCTGATTATCTCTTATTCAAATATACCTGGTCTGACCCTACTTAGTTTTTTCCAAATATGCCAATGTCTGCTAAATGCTATTCATTTGCTCATATCTTTCATAGAGTTCAGGCATTTGATTTCTCAATGACAGCATATTCCATATTTAAACAACCTTAGCTGGGTATTTCCAAATAGGAAGCTCTTCCAAGTAGGGCTTTTATTATGCAATCATTCTGTCTCACTTCCAGAATTTTACAAAGCCCCATACAGTACTGTAGTCATGTGTAACCCTCTTTTGTTTTCCCACTGCAGAAAATCTACACAATGAACATATATTCTACCCCTTCTAGATTATTTTCTTTTTAATTTTTTTTTATTATTTTTCACCATACACCCTACACCAAAACAAACTTAAAATACGCAAACATAAATCTTTTCTTTTAACAGAACAGTACTCTACATTTTAAGCATTCTTTACATCTTATTTACATTTTATGTACATCAGTAATTATGTCTTTTTCTTTCTCTGTTCTAGCCAATTATAACATTTATTCCAAATTTCATAAAATTCTGTCGCCTCCTTGTCTTTTAATTCTAACGTAAGTTTGTTCATTTCTGCGCATTCCAAGATTTTGTACATAATCATATCATTTGTGAGAATATTTTCACTCTCCCAACATTGAGCATATGCTATATGAGCTGCAGTCAATATGTGTATAATGATGTGTTGGAGTTGTTTTTCCATCTTTAAATTTATTATGCCCAAAAGAAATAATTCTGGTTTGAAATCCATTTGTATCTCAGTTATCTCCTGTATCCAATCTCTTATTCATTCCCAATAATTTTTTGCTTTGGGGCACAGCCACCACATGTGATAAAATGTTCCTTCTCTGATTTTACATTTCCAACACTTCGGGTCTATGTTTTTATACATTTTAGCCAATCTCGCCGGTGTTAAATGCCATCTGTAAATCATTTTATATTGATTCTTCTAGATTATTTTCAATTATTGCACATCTTTGCTACCGAAAGACTTTCATTTGCATGCTACTGATTTTTAAAGGGATTCTACTCTGACTTAAGGAGAACCAGTTTGGTGTAGTGGTTAAGGCTTCAGGCTAGCAACTGGGAGACTAAGTTCTAGTTCCACCTTGGGCACAAAGCTTGCTTGATGAATGAGTCAATCACTTTCTGTCAATCACTTTCTGCCCCCTAAGAAGGAGGCAATGGCAAATCATTTCTGAAAAAAACTTGTCAAGAAAATTGAAGGGACTTGTCCAGGAAGTCTCTGAGAATTGGACATAATTGAACAGGAGGAAAAATAACTGCTGGGTTAATACTAAGGTTTCTAGAAACAGATCATCCTCCATGGAAAACATTTTTGAAATCTTCCAAATAGGCTTTTGGGTGCAATTCAAGGTACTAGTTATCATCCATAAAGTCCTGCATTGCATAGGACCAGGTTATTTGCAAGACTGCCTGCTCCTGGGGGTATATGCCTATCCCATATATTCCAGTAAATAGGGCACATTCTGGATTTCCTTATTGAAAGAATTCCATTATTATGAAACTCAGGAAGTATGCCTTCTGTGTAGTGGTACCTGCCCTTTGGAACAACCTCCTCTCTTCCAATTCTACAGGCCTTTAGGAATGCTGTTCAAACTTAGTTCTTTCCCCAGCTTTGGGATCAGGTTAAGCTGTAGAAGTTTTCAATTCTGTTCACCATTTTATTTTTCAATGAGTTGTAATAAATTATTATGTGTTAATTAGGATTTCGGGATGTGTGCTTTAGTATCCTTCCCAGGCTCAAATAATTACAATTGGGCAGCCATATAAATGCTAAATAGATAGATTTCTGAGTTTTGAAAAATTACAAAGCTGTTTCTAAAGTTCTTAAACTCTACTAATCCATTCTTAGTGAAATGAAAGGAGAAAATGGGACAACGGTGAATTTTCTCAAAAGTGTCTATCCTGACCAAAAAAAAAAAAAAAAAAAAAAAATCCCAAGAGTCACAACACAATTTTGTAAGAATTGCAAAACTACATGAGAAATTTGCAAGCCCTTCTTGTCTTGGCAGAAGTGTTCATCAGTCATAGTCCATCAGAAAAAGCACTGGGTAAAAATAAGATTTTCAGGAGAATAGCAAGGTGGAGTTTGCTCATTTCAAGAAAGCCATTAATCTTCAATCAATTCCTGCTAGAAAACTCAAGCAGTTTACCATAGAAGAATATGTGAAATTACATGAAGCTGTTAGTTGCAGTTACTATAACTAAAGAAAATGCAATCAGCTGCTGAATCTAATGGGCAATTGGAGATTTTTCAGTCATCCAAGTCATAGTTGTCTCAAAAGTACTTTTTCAAAAGGAAATTGGACTGATATTTTTCCCTGAGGAGGAAGAAGATGATGTTTCATTTCTCATCCAAGAAGCTTTATCGGTTCTGGCAGGATAGTGGGGGCGATGGAAGGATTAATTCTGATAGGATGGATGGGGGTGTTGGAAGGATCATCTTTCTTTGTAGTTATCTGGTTGTTAGCACTCTTTCTGAGAGTGACCAGACCAGACCAGATGAATGCAAAGAAAGATGATCCTTCCAACCCTCCCTCATCCTGTCAGAACTAATCCTTCCATCGCCCCCACTATCCTGCCAGAACCAATGGCACTTTTTGGGTGAGAAGCAAAACATCTTCTTCCTGGGGGGGGGGGAATACAGTTTAGTTGTCTTTTGAAGAAGCACCCTTGAGACTAAGGGGCAATTATTGTTTCACACTATCACATTGCATGGATGGCTTAGTTCATTATATAAGTGAAACAAGTATCAAATATGTGTTATTTGGCCACTCAAAGTCCTTTTGTACATTGGTAGAACTCAAATACATAGCTGATTTAAAGTGCCTGCTTGGAGCCCAAAATAGTAGTGCTCTCCCCAAACAAATCAATAGGCTGAACTCACCTGTTGACAAACAAGGGTATGGAGTACTGGAGTCTCCACATAGGAATGAGGCTTCATACTTCGTTTCTCTTCATACTGTCTCTTTCAAAGGAAAGAAAGAACACTGCAATCCATGGAGGTTTATGCCATAATCCATGTAATAATCTTTATGGTACCATGTTTTTGTTGTGCAACAGACTAAGATTTTTTTTTTCCTTCTGGATAGGTTAGGAATTTGATAATTGCATTGTAAATTGGAAGAACAGGAGAATTCATACAGTGACTTGCTAAAAAAAGACAACTGAGGAATAAGGAATAGATCAGGTGCTTTAAGAAAAACAGTTCCTTTCCTTTGACATCAAAAGGGGATACATCTGAATGTAAGTCACAATTGACAGTCTTAATATATAAGCACATTCCAGTTACAGCATGCAATCTTTAGTTTCTTTGTTTCAGACAGAACATTAGAGGTGAAAAATCAGTATTTTGTATTTTTCATGGAAAAAAAAGGAAGGCAATGAGTATGTGTTCAAGCATGTACTAGCTTCTTTGTAATCTTTACAACTGGTGTTTAAATTAAGAATAACTTGGCACACAAACTATTTCAACACTCCTGTCAAAGTATTTCAAAGTCAGAACACTAAACAAATGCTTAATCACAAAACAGAATTGAAGTAGGGAAGCAGGATTTGCTGCTCTTTTCCTGTTGTTGGGAGGAACTCCCCCATTCGGTCCTTCCAGCCGGGATTCCCCTTGACAGTGCGGCGCAGAAGAAATAGATCGTGAAGCCAGCTACCAGAAAGAGGTTTAATTTCGAGGATCAGCGTTGAGTGACAATTCAGCTCGAGTCCCCGGCTAGCTAGACAGAGTGATCTTTAAACAGGGGTTTTTATACCCTTTTGTGGTTTCCAAACTTGTCATTTCTGATTGGTAACAAACTTACCATTTCTAATTGGTGAGTTAAAATTTGTCTTTCTTGATTTGCTGGTTTGTGACTATTGTTAGTTCCTTTTTCTTGCCTAAAAGGTGTTAATTACTTTTATTGTTGTGTGTTAATCCTGATTGCTGCTAGCTGGTTCCTCATTGTGTGTGTCAAGTGTTTGCTGTTTTAGCCTCAGGCTGCTGTTGACCCAGTTTAGTTGGGGTGTTCCTAGATTATTTCTTTGTTGGGCTGGGGAGGGGGTGTCCAACTCTCATCACTGTGAAGAAAAAAATCCAGTACAAACAATGGGAGTTGGTCTCCTATGTAAAGTCTATAGATAAATTTCAAGATCCATTAGGTTTTGTAGTTTGACTAGTATGAGTTTTTTTCTATTTTGAGCTAGAATGAAGACGGTATCTATACACTTATTTTTTAAAAAAAACATTCATTGTATTCCTCTTCAGTATTATGCCTGACTAGAATGAAAGCAAACAAAAACGGCAAACTGTTAGCTAGCACAATTTTAATTTAATTAGCAACTATGACCAGCAAATATAGTTATTCAGAGTATTTACCTGTTTTCCCCCCATAAAATACTTAAAATGATGAACAAGAGTTTTGGCATATTTAGAGGTGAGGGCCACACATATACATAAACAATCTTGACACTACCCAACTATTTTCAGAAAGTTTGGAATGAAGTGGAATTAGGTTCTGCTCTTTTCCTTGCAAATCATTTTAAAATAATTGCTTTTGTCTTGCTAATAGCAATACAACAATCCTAAGCAGTCACTTAGTCCTTTTCAACCCTAACCCTTTCTCTAAAATAGTTGGTTAACAATGCTCTTCAGTGTGCCATATAACCCAGCTGCAAATATGCTTTCATTAAATTGTTTTGTATTAACAGGACTAAATTGTCATGAGTTATAGTGTTACTGATATCAAATGCAGAACTTTGGGCAGAAAAACAAGATATAAATAAAATCAGTCTAGCACCCAATTCAATAAAGTGTGCAAGAGGTCTCTATATTTGTAATGAGTGACTATTGTAAAGAACTTCATCCCCTCCTCCAATAACCCCACTATTGGCACTTCTACATAGTTTCACTGTGAAATGGTAAAAAAGAAAAATTATGCAATACTGGGACTGTGTTCATTGCTAATTGCCAAGGAATCTCATGAATTAAGTAGTTCTTCCTTCAATTGAAGGAGCACAAAAAAGTACTTTAGCCAGTACCCTATTACTATACCTCTTTTGTTTTGATGAGTGGAAAAATCTTGCCCCTAAAGCAGGTGATTGGCAAAATTAACCCTGAGGTACTTTTAATTCAAGAAGGCACAGGGGAAATTCAATGAGCTAGGACAAAGTGATTTTGACTGCACACCCTACAGCACCAATGAAACTGTCTCAGTGCTACGTCTGCACTGTTTTCTCTAAATGTTTCAGTGTTTATGTTTGTAGTGTTTTCTCTGGAAGAGTCACTGAAATTAACTCAACTAAAAAGATTCCCTCAAGACCGTAAATTGGGCATGATGCCAATCCAGATCAGCAGCCTCTGTATGGAAGGGGTTTAACTAAAGGACTAAAATGATTGTGGGCAACCTCCAAGTAAGCTCTTCTGTCCATGAACAAAGAAACAGATTTCAGTCAAGATGAATGTTGCCAGTTCCAAAACTTAAATAATATAGGACAAAGATAAAGAATTACATATTCCTTTGCAACTAAATCTTACCTTAAACAAGTTGATAAGAGCATATAATTATTAAAGATGTTACTACTTAGCTTCTGACAGAATAAAATCTTTTCTTCTTATCTTTCCTTTGACTGATTCCATCTTTTCAGGGCTTAAGCAAGCAGTTCATAGGAATTACAAATGTATCAGACTTCCAAATCCAGTTTTAGTTTTTTTTTTTTTTAAATTCTACAATCAGCTTTTTTTAGACAGCTGGGGTAGTGGCAGTCGGAATTCTTTATGGAATTGGCCTTTTTAATCAAAATCAACGTTAGGTTTTTACATTTTTCTAGACAAGCTTATATTTAAATGTAAAATCGAGTACTATAGCATAAAAATATTATCTAAAATTTACATATACACATTCCATAAAGGTTACCATCACATGACTTCAACTATCTTTGAATAGAAAAACGTAATTTCGACTCTTTTAGAACCTGTTTTTACATCACCCATTAACCCAGAAGGGAGATGCCGCCGATTCGGGATCCCGTCACCATGGGAACCACGGAGCGGAAGTTCTGGAAAGGGACCTGATCCTATAGTCGCGTTTTAATGGCGTCACTAAATACTTTTCGTAAACAAACGTAGGTTTACTTTTTCACCGGCGAAAATTGCGTGCGCGTGGGAACCGCCTGCTAGGAGAGCTTCTTTATTTGGATACACTAACGCCGATTTAATCCGCGTGATGTATCTTTGCCGGCTACTAGTTAACATTTTTCCCCCTCAGCTTTGAAGAAGAAACACTTTAGCTAATGAATTCGGGACAGGCGGGGTAGCGGACGCCGCACTCGCGGGGTCTTTTTAACCGTTGCTGGGCATTTATCTGACCGCTGGGAAACCCCGCGGCTGGCTCAGAGCTGCTTCTGCCCCTTTCTCCTTTGTCGGGCCGGTCTCTTTCTGGCGGGGGCGCTGCCTTGAACCTGCTCCCGCATGTTTGGCCTCTGCTCGGTGTGGGGGGCCATGGAAGGGAAGCGGATGGCGCTGCCCTCCGTTCATAGATGCGTCCAAGTGAGTGACGAAGAGCAGCTCGCTGTGGCGGCTGGGAGCAGCCGAGTTTCCCTCCACCTGCGCCCCCCAGAGGGTTGGATTGGCTCAGGAATTCTGGGAGTTGAAGTCCACGAGTCATAAAAGAGCCAAGGTTGTTTACCCCTGTCCTAATCCAACACTGTTTTGGATGGAAAAGGCAGGAGCTGTAGGGCAGGATTTCTCAGACTGCGCAACTTCGAGGCAAGTGGGAAATTGCGAGGAGGGTTGAAGTCCACATGTCCCAAAATTGCCAAGTTTGAGAAACAAGTTAGATGTAGGGCATCACTTCGAGCGAGAAAGAAAGAGAGGCGAGCTGTGGGAAGATGGTTGCTTTGGCTCCTGGGTGTTTCCCGGCTGCCCAGAAATTCCTGTGTATCCATGTTCTGCAGATCCTACGTCTGCAGATCGCGTAAGGCGCTCCGTTTTAGCGCTAAACTTTTGGCATCGCTCTTCAAAGAGCCGAGACCTTTTTCCTCCGAGGCGATTAGAAAAAAACTAGATATTTTTCCTCTTGAAGGAAACGGTACTTTAATTTTTTTCTGATGATAAATCGGGCTGGGAATGTCATGCTGGGGAATATACTTCACGAAAGCAGTATAGCGTCCCTTTCCCCCCCATATCAGCAGTGCTTGGCCCTTTGGATAGCTGCGTGATTAGTAGGAAGGTTTCTTTAGTCTTCTCCTCCAGCAGTCCCCCTCTCCCCCATGGTAAATTTTATAGCTATTAAAAATGTCTCTATTCTCTCCCTTAAAAATTTTACTCCTAGTAAAAATTACTTCCAATGCAAATCAGTCTAGAAAATGTTTTAAAGTGACATTTTTCTTGCAGTTCCCTGCAATAGTAAGAGAAAGATTTTGAAGGACCTAGATCTCCCAAAATTTATGCGTGCTCAAATTAAATGGCTGCACGGTTGATATATATATTATTTAGGATGCAGGAATATTTCTTAATGGAAAATCAGTAGTAAAAATGGTATATAAGGAAAAGATGTGTATAGTAAAAGGTTAGAGCTGGAAGGGGCTGCTTTTTCACTGCTAGTCTGAGAAACATTAATTAAATATTATAGAATACAGGCTTTGGAAAGGTCAGAATGCTGCAGTTTACACTTTGATATGTGAGTAGAGAATGAAAGTGGGATGAATTTAAAATTAGCAAAGGTTTGATAAAGTGGCTGACAGATGATATAGTGATTGAAAAGTGGGAATAAAGTGAAAAACAAGATGGCAGTGTTATATGATAAGTGCCGATTTCTGCAGATGACTTACAACATGCTTATCACTTTAATAATCAAATTAATGTACATATTGATGTCAGAATTAGTAATAAAATACCTCTTGGGGGAAAACTATTAATTGTGTTTGATAATTTTATAAGTAGGATCATTTCAGTTTTTGAAGTTTTGAAAGTATATGTAGGTCAGGTTCTTTAAAGTGCTTGACTAAAACAAAGGCAGCCTTAGAAAATGAACATGGGTTATTTCATACTACGAATGTTACTGTATTACATTAAATAACCTGCATTTGCTTGTATGCTTATTAATTAAATTTATATGTCACCCATTTCTCCATTAAGTCAACTCTTTGTTTTTAAACACAAGAAAAATTATCTCATTTTTCCAGCTCAATCAAGAAAATCAGCTGCTCCTTAAAAAGCTGAGGCATGTACGCCTAAAAAACAAGCAACTGGAATGTGATGTAATGCAGCTGCATGATAAACTACGTGAGCAAAACAAGTGCTTGCCTGCCTGTGTCACAAGGAAAGAGTAAGAATGGCTATACTCCAAGCACCTGCCTCTTAAGAATTTAAGACAGGGGTGTCAAACTCGCAACATCACATGACGTGTCACGATGTATCATGATTTTTTTTCCATTGCCAGCAATGGGGTGGGTGTGGTTTCGGCATGACACATCCGGCCCACAGGCTGGCAGTTTGACACCCCTGATCTAAGATTTCACTTAGTACTCTAATATGTATAAAGATTTAGCTTCTCATCTGTCGGTTTCTTCATTAAAGCAATATTTGATTCAAACTTACATAGAATCATTGATGAATGAGTTTATATTGAGGGCCATGCCACACACTTCTAGTCATTCTTTCCTAAAGTTTATTATTCACATAGAAATATAATGATTAAACATTAAGATAAATATCTGTATCATTACCCAACACAGTATTTTAGCTTAACATACTAACTTTTGATAGATTCAATTGGTTTTGTGAATAATTAATATTTGTAAAGGTTGTAGCCCCAATTTTTGAAAGGTTTTGGCCTGCTGTACTTAGGACATAGGATGGCATTTGCAAGACTGGATTAGTATTTTTGTTATTTTAATGAAAGGCTCTTTCATTAAAGGATGAAAGAATTCTTGGTTTTTAGGAAAATATAGGCAAATGGAAGTGGGTTCTTTGCCTGACTTGGTGAGAAATTCTTTATGTTCAATAAATAGATCTTACTGGATTTAAGAATGTTTACTTTCAGAAAAATAAATATGGGTTTATAGAATTAAATGGTTATGTATGAGAATTGACGTTACAGTAGTTTGAGAAATTGGCAGAAGCTTCGTAACCAATGTATAAAATACTTAAATTGGAAAATATGAATTTTAAACTAGGCTTCCCAAATATTTTGCTTCACAACTCCAATCACCTTAGTGCAGAATAGCCATAAGATGCCCAGGCATAATGGGAATGTAGTCACACAACCCAAGATTATCAAGTTAGAGATTACTATGATTTATGATCACATAACTACTAGTATCCATGTCTTTTTCTTCTGAATGTATGTTTTTTATATATATAGATGGTATTTATCTTCTTTGAGATTAAAAAGAGATTTTAGATTTTAGTATTCTTTCTCAACTTTATTAGATTTTTAGGAAGGTTAGATAAAAACCCATTACATCAATAATATTCAATATGAAGAGTTTTTTTTAATTTAATTGGCTGTTTATTTTAGTGTACAGATTCAAACAGAGTTTCACTTATACCATAAAGGTGATGGCGTTCATCACAAGGAACACGAAGTAGTAAAGGAACATGCCAGGTGAGCTTTGGAACCCTAGTCAAACATACATCTTAGCAAATAATTTGGATTCTTGGTCAACAATACAAATAAAAGCCTTTAATGACACTACAACCAGTCTTTATAAATTTATCCTTAAATATACAGATCCATTTTTGAGTTATTTTCTGCTCAATGTTGAAATATTTGTTAACGTCCATTATTCTGTTATTTGAGTGTATAAAAATGTTCTGCTAGTTCCCCCTTCTATAACAGATGATAGAACAAAAGTTATATCTGTGGTGTATGTTTTTAGTTACATATTGCCAAATAGAAAGCTTCCAAGAAGAGTCATCTACACAGTTATAAAGTTTTATACTAAAACATTACCATATTACTGGTAAAATGCTCACTTTTTTCAAAAAAATATCCCTTATTTTATTGGTCCATTGCTGGACCAGTGGACTGCAGCAGATACATGATTTTTTTTATTTCTCCCAATGGGACACCAGTGGGCTCATTATACCCCCCACTCCATTGCTTGTGCAATGGACATGAGAGGAAAAGAAACACATGGATATGCAACAGTCCGGTGATCCCCAACCCAGTCTGTGACTTGTTAAGAACTGGGCCAACAGAGCTAGAGGTGACCAGCAGGCGAGCAAGCGAAGCTGCATCTGTGTTTGCAGCTGCTCCCCAGCGCTAGCATCACCACCTCAGCTCTATCTCGGATCATCAGGCATGAGATTCTCATAGGAGCATGAGCCCTACTGTAAACTGTGTATGTGAAGGATCTAGGTTGTACACTCCTCCTCCTCCTGGTGTATGGAAAAATTGTCTTCCAAGAAACTGGTCCCAAGTGCCAAAAAGGTTGGGGACTGCTGCAACAGTCCACTGAAGGAAAAGATGTTGAAGGACACAGCACAACATGTGAAGCACAAGGCGGTCCATAATGGGGATCCTACAGAGAACCTCTGTTAATTGGAAGCAACCAATGTGTGGTGAATTGTACAGTATAGATTACTGATATTGAAGGAAGATGATCCTAGGCATTCAGAGACTTATGGTGCTTGCAAGTCTTGCATTACATGAGAGAGGTGCTAAAGCAGAAAACTACCAATTGGAGGCTGTGGTGAGTACAGTCTCAGTCTAGACAGACCGCCAGGCCTTTGCTGTGGCTAAAACAGATAAATAGCTTCCATTCTTTTTCAGTGAACGTTTGTATAGATATTCATATTTGGAAGACTAACGATTCTTCTACTTTTGCTTCCAGAGTACTTCAGATGTATAATGAACTGAAGAAAAGGTACAATAAAGAAGTCAAAACAAATCAAAGACAAAATGAAACAGTTGCAATGCTGTCTGTAAGCTTTAATCATTTGATCACTTTGACATAAACTAAAAAAAATGAAATGTGTTTGGTATATATAGAATACTGTATTTGTATGTTTCATAAGCATATTGCAAGATACATTTACTGGTCTGTTTTTCATTCAGTTGTGGTTTTCTAATAAAAATGGTCACATGTAACTGTCCATTTCTGCTATTAAAGTTAAATGACAACGTCAAGGAATATCTGCGCACAGATAATGTTTATGGCATTGTGTTCTTGAATTCTTTCATATACTGTCAGAACATGATAAACTTTCCTTTTGTAAGTTAACATGATAATTGTTTGGATTGACCTGATATAGGATAATTTAATTTGGCCTTTTGTTTTTATGATACATGTCTTATTTGTAAGTTGTCATCTGCTCCAAGCCTCTGGGAAGTAAGGAAAATAGATATTAAGATAGAGAAATGTTTTTTTGCAAACACATATATGAAAGGCGTTTGCCCTTGAACCTAACTGCAGGACAAATATGCCTTGTAACATCTTTTTTTCTACCATCTTGCCATGCTGTTGCTTTAATCTCATACCCAGCCCATGAGTGAGGCAGCCTTATAATGCTTGGCATCTGCAACAATATATTAGTGGCATTTATCATTGTTTAGATAGGACAATGACTCTTTAAATCACATATTTATTTCTAACCTCTTGTGCAGGTTTTTAAAAAAGTAATTTTGAATTGATGTCCCAATTGCCCTATCCTAGTATGTTTAAAAATGTGTTAATTTTCTTGTTCTTTAAAATTGTTCAACTATTTAATCACAGGGTAAAATTAATAATCTGGAACACCAACTTCATTTAGCAAACCAAAAGATAAATGCCTTGGAATATAAAAAAAAGGACAAATTTGTTCCAATTCAGAGAAGAATGTCATCTGACAAATGTATGTGCAAAAAGAAGGGAAGCTGTTCCTGCAAATATTTAGGTAATATTTTTTTCCTCATATATCTGCTTCATTGGCTCTTGATCTCTTGTGTTACCTTTTGGCATATTCTTATCTATGACTGAGTGAAGATTAGAAATTTCTAAATGTTTGCAACACAGGGAAGTTTTGTCTTTTATGTGAATGTAGAAAATTTTGGTTTACAAAAATGGTTTGTTTACAAACATATTCAAAATAGAATGAATTTGTAGAAATGGACAGACTTACATTGAAAATGAAGGAGAAAGAAGATTCAGAATACTTTAGAACATGGGATACATTTTATCAATGGCTAGAAAAACGAGGTACAGAGAAAGGAGTTTAACATGTATTAGTAAGCTAAATATTGGAACCCAGACAACATGTAGCTGATAAAATTTTAAGGATTTATGATTATAAAAAATTAATAAATTATGGTTATAAAAAATAGAATGAATTTGTTTACAATGGGCACAATCCCAGAGTCCCAGAAACAGACCGATGCTTTCTCAGTTCAGATTATTGGGACTGGGTAAGCAGGAATTAATTCAAGAACCCTTCCCAATTCTCTGCTGCTAAGCTGGGGGGAGGGGAATTTATACCAGCTCAGTGATCAGGGAGAAGAAAAACTAGATTATAGATACTTTTGCTGTTCTGTACTGTAGAGAGATTTTTAAGTATGGTTTAAAAGAAAAAAGGAAAATGGAAAACTTCTAGTCTTATTAATTGGTAGAGACAGTATGGGAGCCTTAGTATATATGCACATGCACTGTGGTCATATTTCAGAAAAAAATCACTTATACATTTACACGTACATTGTAGAGTGAGATGTAATGTATATTCGTAGAAAGGAAGGGGCAAGGCAGAGGAATTCAGGGAATTTAAGGTGCTGCACTTGATTCCTTGATAGTCCATGTGTAGCTCCTGAGCCAAAAGTAATATGTTTGTGTCTATAAATGGAAGTCCAGTAATTTGAATATTAGAGTACCCTTGCATTGAAAATGCATATAATTAACTTCTTCCCACTCCAAAAAGACTTATTAAAATACTTCCTATTAAGATGCAAACATTGCTTAATGAAATAGTACCATAATTATGTTTTCTATAGTCTCCTTTATTTAGAACAGAGGTGGGGAACTATGGCCCTTAAGGAGAGTTGATGGTATGTACTGTTTATTTTCAGACTAGGACCAGTAAATGGACCATCATTTGTCATAAAGTTTATTCGCTTTATTTCTGTCAGTGTAATCTATATTATAGTGAGAATAGATAGAGGAGATGTGTATCACAAGAGAAGAAGTGTTACTGTTATCACCTTATAGAAAGTGCTGCCAAATTATGTGCAATTCTGAATAGATTTTTTTAAATTTTAGTCTGATACATATTCTCTACAATATATTTGAGTATGTTGTAACTGCTGTCACTGAGTGACATCATTTTCCTCTTTCAAATTGATTACTGTATTTGGCTTGTGCAAAGATTTTTTTTTACCATATCTTATCTATACTACTTCTCTGGCTCCTGCATTATATAAACCGATCTTAGCTGCTGTAGATAATTCCTTGTCTTATACAACCAAAATGGTTTTCTGTGCTTGGACCATAAATCCATAAAACAAAGGGAGAGACTAGCCCATGGTCACCTACTTAGCTTTGGGCCTAAGACAGGACTAGAACTTACAATGTCCTGGTTTACAGTGTGGTTGCTTAACTATACCATTAAACTCCACATTGTTAACATTTTCTTCTTTCACCAAGACTGACTTCTTAGACTGACAACTGCTTTATGGCAGTGCTTGCAGATCGCGGTTTCCAGAGCCTTGAGATTTTCTCTTTTCACAGCTGCTTTTTCTTTGGCTATTTCATTATTCTGAATTCTCTGTAAGATACCTTGATTCTTCAGCAAGTAAAATCAGATGATGATAAGACCGTAAAACTGAAATTGAAATACTGTATTCTCAGGCCTTAAACCTGACACATTCTAAGAGGAAAACCTGATTTTACAGAAGTGAAAACAATTCTGAGGTATAGTTAAAAAAGAATAAGAACATAATTTTTATCTTTTAGTGACTTTAAAGAAATTACTTATGTACTTTAGACCAGCTGCTTTATGAGACACAGCGACTGAAGATGGAAAATGAAACGCTTTCCAAAGAAAGAAGAATGTTAAAAAATGAGCTTGCTGCATTAGATAAGGTGGGTTTTTTTTAAAAAAAAAATATTGAGGCAATGTAGAAAAAGCTCCCATTTGCAAATGGAAAATGTCTGCTATAGGAGATAAAGTTTTATGCATTGTTATATTGTGAGTGTGCTCTAGAAGCTTTGGCTTTGCTGATCAGTGAATAGGGATAGGTTAAATAATGTTCCCCCTTCCAAGCAGAGGCGTATTTAAGAATATAATGCTCTTTGTCTGTTTGTATCTTTGGGTTGAAGATGCATTTGTCTGTTAAATGTATTGTTCTGTGTATTTAAGACAGTTCTTTGAAAACTTCTAAGTACAGGTGTGATACTGTATGGGATGAGATCATGCTATAGATTGTAATGCGAAGATGGATAATAAAAAGTTCTAAATATATAATCCTTCCTTCTATGTGCAATCAAGTCTATTTTCAAATAATTTCTTGTTATTTTAAGATTTTAATATATCTGTTAGAGATACTATATACAGCATTTGATTTGGACACTATGTTTATCTGTAGAAAGGGAATTTGTTTTATGTCTATTATCTTTTTTTGTATTAAATTTGGAATCTTAAGAGATATGGCCAGTTGAATTCATTATTTTAACTGATTTTATACGCATATGTACAATTTATAAAAACAAAACACTGAATTCTATAATGAAGGATTTAGTGGTAGGGCAGGAGTCATTCATTATTACAAATGTAGGATTTGTAATAACAATTTCTTCAATTAGCAAATTTTGTAATTATTTGAAGCAGGGATGTTCTTTGTAGAAAGGAACGGAGTTTGAGACAAAGTATCTAATTCAGAAGTAGAATTTAAGTAAAAAATTTTGTGTCATAACTTTTCAGGATTTCTTTGATGAAATAGAGGATTTAAAATATGCTCTACAAGAAGCCATAAAGCTGAATACTCATTATGAAAAGTGTTTAAAAAAGTTAAGTTCCACTTATGGAATCACTTCTACATCAGGGTTGACAGCTGGCAATCCTCGTACAACTTTATGGAAATAACGTGATCAGTCAAGATTATTATTAAAGTATGCTGAGTATATACAGAAAAATCAACTCTCAACAGAGTAACTTCTTAATTTGTGCAATAAAATCATGACTCTAACCCATTTTTCATTTTGCATCATTTGTATAGTTTTTATTCTTCCTCTATTTTTAATAAATTTGGGACTGGTTTTAAATGCAATGCTTAACTGTAGTTTGGCATTCAGTAAGTGAAGGTGAATGAGGTACTTAAGCTCTTCCATTTTCTTTGTCTTCTGGAGGCATATATCAAAAGAGGAAAATAGAAGTAATTGATTCTGATTTTTAAATTAATTGTAGAGCTTCCTTATGTTTGAACTTGGGGACCAATGTTTAGTTCAAACTATGGTTGTTCTATCCAAAGGTATTTCAAGCTTATTTTATAACTTAGATGTGTGGAAATTTTTTTGAAAATGAATATGTGATATGTCCAGGAAGTCGTTCTTAAAACAATAACTTTGGGCTAATTCTCAGCCCATCTTTCCTTACAGAGTTATTGAGAGAATAACATTAGGGAAAAAATTATGTAACAGGTCTTAAATCAGCAGCTCTCAATCTTTATGGCTTGATGGCCCGGCAGGGTGGGGAGAGGGGAACTGTCCTGTGCAAGTGGTGGGCCAGTGTGTGCGTGTCTGCCCACCACTTGTGCAAATGCAGCCGGACTGCCGCTTGCACAAGTTGAGCTGTGCACATGTGCGCTCACCAGTCGCTTGCACAGCTCTGTTCTAAATGGGCCACAGCCCAGTAGTGGGCTGCGGCCTGGGGACCCCTGTCTTAAACTGCTAAGGTGATTTATGTCTTGCTGGGGATAGAAAAGCAGGATGATTTATCTGTAAGCCTACGATATACTTGCTAAATAATTTGCCTATAAAATAGATCGTATGTGTTTAAGTTTGGATTCAATGAGGCAAATCTCAATGAGATGACTGTGACAACATCCAATGTTATCTAGGATTTGGGTTAAAGGAAGAGAACGTCCAATAGTTTTTAACAGCATTTTTAATAAATTGTTTGAACTGACAGTGTCCCTTATTACACTCTTAAGGGTTACATAAAATTCTAAGAACCTTTTTTAAAAATGTAAATGATACAGCTTTTATTTTTTGATACATATATTCTATAGATATACGCTCTTAAAAGTATATTTCAAAATAAATGAATTGCTGATCTAAATTAGTGAAGACAGTTCTTCCATTACAGTTGCAGACTATTCTAGAGGAAGTAGATTTCTTTCTTTTGGATTTCAGGTCCAAGCACAGGGCAGAAACCACACATGTCATTCATGACTGGGTTAAGTCCTAGATAAGGGTGTGTATGACTCCTGCTCTTGATTCAAGAAGCTGAGGCTCACTCATAGAAATGATCGTAAGAAAGAGCAGGTGACAGGTTTCAAATATTTAGGAATAAAGTGTGCTTGAGGAAAGCTCACTGCAAATGTGCAGCTGCCACTGGACAAAGATCTGCAAACTGAAGCTCTGTTTTTTTATACACATTTAAAACAGTTTTTCCCCTGTGAACCTAATAATATCCTGTGTATTATATTAAAAATGACGGTTTGGTTGCAGCTGATGGAGGTCCACCATGGCCTGCTTTAATAAACAAGATTTTGCTCAGAAAGCAAGCCTATCGATCTCTGGTTTTCTCCACCCTAAATAAGGTTATGGTCCACCTCCTCCTCCGGTACTTTAGGCTAATTTTAAACAGTATCGTTTCTGTGAGTGTTGTGCTCGGTACCGCCTGGTTTTGGAACGATTCTTTGGACCAACGCGACATTGCTGTATCGATTGCATCCGGATGCCATTATCGTCCAACAAGTCACGGTCACCTTGGAAACGCTTTGCTGATAGGAACCTTGCCGAGCAGCACCTGAGCACAACGCGGATGTGAGGAGGCAGCAATAATTACTCATCCGAACATCCCGCCGCAACTTCCCGCGAGGCCAGCGCGATCCAGGAGCAAAGCAGGTGGCGATGCCCGCTCAGACCCACCATCTCCTCAAGAGGGCGAAGGAGAGACGCGGAAAGGAGCGAAAGGGCTCCCTTCGATTCCATCCCTAGCCGAGGTTGTATACCTTCCGCAAAACGAGGACTTCGTCGTAGACGCGGCGAGTGCACACACGTGCCTGGCGGGTGACCCTGCCTTCCTTCATTGCTGCCTCTTTTTTCTTCCGGGGTTTGGCGGAGGTGCGGCTCCTGCGTCAGCTGCTCCCGGCGGCCTCCCATAGACGCGGAGGCGAAGCTTCCCCACTGGCGTGTTTCGTTTTTGGAGCGGAAGATCTTCCCCCATCGCCCACCCCTCCTCGGTGAGTTGCAGCAGCGCTCTGAGTCGTCTTGCAGAGTGAGATGGACGCAAAGAGATTGGACATAGCAATAATAATAATAATAATAGCGCTGAAAGGTTGCCTTGTTTGCAGGGTCGGAAGGAAGGAAAATAGAGAAATTCTTGCTGGCTGAAATAGATTTGACTTTCGATTCGAAAGGATTTCTGTTTTGTCTTCCGAGCTTTCCGCGCTGGGAGAACTGAAGGAAGCCTATTGCTGCTGCTCCTCCGAGCGAGAAATGGGTCGGGTTCGTGCATTGCGCTGAGGTGTGATTTGCGTGGGTCGGTGTCACGCATTTTGCACTGCCAAGCCTTTGCCACAGTTCATCACGGCGGAACAAATCATTTTTGGGCTTCCGGGATTAAAGACGGGTGTTCTTTGTCACGTTTGATTTCGACCATCCGAAAAGTCACAAACGAGAAAGCTTTGGCGTCTAGCAAAATGCTTTCGATGGGACGGTTCGTCCACCCGAAGTGAGGCGGGGCAAAATGAGGAGTTGTTGCTCTTTTGAAGTCTTGGAAATTGTGCCCAGCAATCGCTTCGTGCTCCTTGACCTTCCTTTGTGAAGACAATTGTGTTTAGCCCCAAAGTGTGCTCTCTACTTTGTGAGGGTTTAGTTGAGAGGTATCCAACCTTGGCAACTTTAAGATCTGTGGACTTGGAGAATTCTGGGAGTTGAAGTCCACAGGTCTTAAAGTTGGCAAGCATGGACCCCCCCGCCTTTGTTTAGCTCAGTGGTTCTCAACCTTTTTAATGCCGGGACCCTCAACCGGTCGTAAGTCGAGGACTACTCAATCGGTCATAAGTTGAGGACTACTCAACTGGTGCAGCGCCGTTTGCAGAATGGGACTTTTGGCAGGCTCAGCAGGGCAGAGACAGCCTGGACAATTCCTATTGGCTTTTGAAAGCCAATAGAATTAAACTCTATTCAAGAGTGTCTATTCTGTTGGCTTTCAAAAGCCAATAGAATAAAAGGGAGTAGCACAGCTAAGGAAAAGGGGGAAAAAAATGGCGGACTGCGTTGTTTGGCGACCCCTCGTGAAATGGTCATTCGACCCCAAATGGGGTCCCGACCCACAGGTTGAGAATCATTGGTTTAGCTGGTCCTAATGAAAATTATGGTAATATTGAACTAGGACCCACAGGATCTCTCAATATGATACAGTAACCTAACACCCCCCCCCCCACCCGTAAAACAGTGGGTTTCATGAGCTTACACTTGGGAAAGAAACCGTGCTGTTTACTTTTAATAATTACATCTTAATATGTATACACTATAAAGGTATAAATTTTAGAAAATAATTTCAACGAAAGTTCCCATTTTTTTTTTTAAATCGATTTGTTGAGTTTTGCTTAATTCCCTGAAATCTCTCATTTTGTTTTGTTTTGTTTCCCCTCAGGAGAGCCCTTCTCATTCACCAAGGTCATGCAAAAGATGTTTGCTTTGAATCAGCAGTTCTCTTAAACTGCTGCAGCTTGCAAAACACTGGCGCGATCTAAACTGCTTTTGGAGTATTCCCAGAGTAGCTGCACTGAGGGTGACAGTTGCAGCCAATTTCCTGCCAGTCTGGCTTGGTGCTTATCAATCCCTTCCCCCTCTGTTGCAATTCCCTCTGCAGAGCTGGCTTCCAGGCATGAATGCTGCTGTCTGAAAAGGGAAAGCACTGTATTAAAAGCACACTCACACACACACACACACATGAATGTTCAAAGCAATGGGCATAGTTTTGCATCAAGGAGGTGAGTCTGCTCAGAAAGGAGGAAGGCATTTTCTGTTGGCCCTCCATCCAAGCTACATTATTAATCTTGATTAATTATTATGGGGCAAGAATGGCCTTAGAAAAATAAGGTGAGTTTTTGATGGTCTCTGGAAATAACTATAGCTGAAAATAACTATCAACTTGCTGGACTCTTGAAATCCTTGCAACCTACATAAAAAGCACAAAATGAAAGGAAAGGAAATGTAATGTGCCACGCTATAGTAATGAACAGAGATTAAATGGTTAATTGTATTAAATGCAGTGTTGTATTAATTTAAATATTAAATGATTTACAAGTGTTCTTTTGATAGATACAGAAATAGTAAATATTACTCTTTCAGTTCTATTGATGAGTAGGTAAACCATTGAAAGGTCCTTCAGTGAAAATCTCTTTAAATGTGAAATGAATGATGGCTCTTTTGGGTAGAGAAATGGACATATAGCTAGAGTAAGAGGTCCCATGATGGAGGTTTACAGCACAGAATCAGAAAATGTCTGATATGTAAAGCAATTTATAGTCAACAATTTTGAGGTCAGAATGCCCTGGTTTGAAGTTGATCAGCTTGTGATCAATTCAAAATAGTTATTCTGAAGCCAAAAATGTCAGTTTCAAAAAAAAAAAAAATAGCTATCACAAATATTACTACTTCTCATACAATATTTTTTTTTAAATACACATGTTGGAGATAGATTTGTCTTTTATTACAATTCAGTTATTTTATTTGGTAAATTTTTAAAATCTGTCACTATAAAATGTTAGAGCAATGCCATGCAGTTTAGTTAGAAGAATGAAGCTGTAAGAGTTCAGTGGAGCTTATAACCCAGTGGTTCTCAACCTTTCTAATGCCGCGACCCCATAATACAGTTCCCCATGTTGTGGTGACCCCCAACCACTTATACATCACCGGGTGCCAGGGGCGTGGCCAAAGAAAAGGGAAAAAAAATGGCGGGCAACCTTGTTTGGCGACCCCCGTGAAATGGTCGTTCGACCCCAAATGGGGTCCCGACCCACAGGTTGAGAACCACTGTTATAACCAAATCACTTTTAAGCAACTGCCATTCATTCTTATTTATCACATTGTTGAATTGGGGTATATACGTGAATGAGGCTGATAATGTAGTTTGTATCCAGTACAGGCCCTATAACATTTATTTCTGTTTCTTTTATAGGTCTTTTAGCTGATGAGAAGAACCACATGAAATACACAGTAATGTACATTTGATTCAGGGTATGAAAAAAGAGACATTGGTGATACTTCTATGGAAAAAGTGCTGCTGTAGGCTGAGATGGCGATTCTAGGCTTAAGACCTATGAACTATTATTCTTTGAGAAAAAGAGGCATTTTTACACTGAAACTTATTTGTTTTACTCTGACTGTATTCATTTTCTGTGAATTTTTAATTTATTATGTAGTTATAATTCAGTGTCATTGGCCGGAATTGAAAAATCAGAGTCTGGGGACTAACACACAGAATTCACATTCTGTCTTGAAAACCATCTTTTTATCAGATCCTCATTTGCTTGGTAGAATCAATGGACATTGGTTGGACAAGTTAAGAAGGTAGGTGCCAAAGTATCAATGAATTGTTGCTCTTGATTTGTGGAAGCATTTGTTGCATGTTGAAGAATTAAAGTTACAAATCTAAAAATTTATAAACTGAGCGTCTACTTTCTAACTTATTGAATGTTGATGTTTAACATTGCTAAAATCTCAGTGTAGTTGCCTCTCATAAGAAAGGAATAATGAATCTTATAATTCATTGAGCAAAATTTCCCACTCATTATTTGAAGGAACAATCATCTTATTCATTGCATGTTGGTTTAACACATTAAAACCAAAATAGTGTTCAAGAGTACAAGTGTTCTGCAATGTTTGAATCAGCTTAATACTGTGATTTAAAAAATTATTTATTTAGTTGATTTATACAGTATAGTCACCCATCTCAGAACATGTCTCTGAGCAGCTCACATTAAAACAAAGATTTATATACATATGAAACACATAGCAGCTTCATAAAAAAGCCCTCAGTACAGCCAAGAAAATATTTAAAATACATGTTGCATAATAAAATACTGTTGTTTATCTTAATTTTACAATAGTTTATATATGCAGAATTTTTTCTTGTTCTATAAAAGTTGAAAGGAAGGAGATAAGAGTTATGCAGGAGGCAAAGGCAGCTGTTCTCTGGGAAAGCCTTGAGGTTTAGTATCAAAATTGTCTTCCAATTCCTTGTGCTCAGCCTCGTAATCAGAGCCCACAGTTAGAAACTGTGGTTGTTGAGTAAAACAGTTACATGGGTTTAACAAGCAAAGCAATCACATGCTTCACTTAATGATCAAATTTCCAGTCCCAATTGTTGTATATCAAGGACTATATTTACCAGCATGTTGTCATGTTGTTATATATTTTCCTAAAGAACAAATGATTGGGGGACTAGAGGTTAGAACAGTGGTTCTCAACCTGTGGGTCGGGACCCCATTTGGGGTCGAACGACCATTTCACGGGGATCGCCAAACAAGGCTGTCCACCATTTTCCCCCCTTTTCTTTGGCCACGCCCCTGGCACCCAGTGATGTATAAGTGGTTGGGGGTCACCACAACATGGGGAACTGTATTATGGGGTCGCGGCATTAGAAAGGTTGAGAACCACTGGGTTAGAACATGTGGGGAACGGTTGCTGGAAATGGGTATTTCTAGCTTAATGAAGGGGGGGCTGGGGGTGACATGATAGCAGTGTTCTAATATCTCACGGGCTACCACATGGAAAAGAGAGTCAAGCTACTTTCCAGAGCACCTGAAGGCAGGACAAGAAGCAATAGATGGAAACTAATCAAGGGGAGAGGCAACCTGGAATTAAGGAGAAATTTCCTGACAGTTAGAACAATTAATCAGTGGAGCAACCTACCTCCAACATTGGAAGTTTTTAAGAAGAGACTGGACAAACATTTGTCTGAAACAGTATAGAGTTTCCTGCCTGAGCAGGGGGTTGGATTAGAAGACCTCCAAGGTCCTTTCCAATCTATTATTGTTGTTGTTGTTGTTACAGTATCCTGTCACCAAGATACATAATTTTGGCTGTCCTCAATCTTTTTATTACACTGTTAATTTCTCTGGTGTCTTCAAGGTCCAAAAAAGTTGTTTCCATTTCATATGCTGAAGTTTTCTCTAATAAACTTTTCTTCAGTCTTCTCATTCTTGCTGTAAGTCACAGAGTCTAAATGGGTGGCCTGCTGTTTTTGGATAATGTCAGGAATTCACGAGTGACTTCAGAATGTTTGCTCTCTGTTCAATTTGTGTCGTAATAATGGAAATTTTTATGTAACTTTCAGTCACAGTATTTTTTTCTGCTCTCTGACTAATCAAGGATAATTCTTTTTTACTTTGGGATTATAATAATTTACGCTCTGATTATTTCTTTTCTCTACAATATATATACATTCCACCTTTATAGCTTAGCAATTTAACCGGTCTTTGGATGTACCATGTCATTTCCAAAGTACCTTCTTCTATTTCTTATTTGGCAAATGCGATTTTCCCAACCTTCTGTTATAACATTCAGAACAGCAATTTTTGAGTGGCCCTTGTTGTTCTCCTCCAATGTAAGCACCATTTCTGTTGTTGCCAAGGATAGCAATTGTCTTCATTTTCTCCTCCTTTGCCAACCAGGTCTTCTTGCTGATAGCAGATGGGGAGCAGTAAAAACGGCAATGAATTGGTACTTTACCAATTTCTTTGTTCTTCCTTTACTGAAGTTTCTTTGAAGAGAAAGAAAAAACAAAAGGGAGAGGGAATAGTAAAACCAGTTTATTGCAACTATGGAGGATGGAGAGATGGTGGCCAACAACCTTGAGGCTGCTGCTGAACAGCAAGTGTTTGCTGCTTTATTTTGCCCTCCTGGTCTTAATTATAATCGGAGGGATAGATGCCCACCAGGAAATTCTTTGTTTAATATGCATATTAAACAAAGAATGTAAGAAGATAGTTCCACTTCTTACATTCTGAGACTATTCTTGATTTTCTTCTTCCCTTAATCTATGCCACCAGCATTTTGATCATTCAGGTGGAAAATGAAGCTTAGCCTGCTCTTTGTACTGCATGTGTAGTTTGGAGTAATGTTACATAGTCAAGGCTTTGTGATAGTTGATTGTAACTCTAAACCAGTGTTTCTCAACCTTGACAATTTTAAGGCATGTGGACTTCAACTCCCAGAATTCCACAGCCAGCATTGCTGGCTGTGGAATTCTGGGAGTTGAAGTCCTCATGACTTAAAATTGTCAAGTTTGGGAAACACTGCTCTAAACAGTTTATTCAGTTCATCCTTTCCTTGAGCTGATTTTTGCTAGTGGATAATTCTAAATAGTTGAAGAGTCGGAAAAGCTTCAAAATTAGGCTAAAATCTAGTGAAACCACCTATATTGGTTCCTGGGTGATAAGGATTTCTAATGGTGGCTCTTTTGTACAGCCCTGGCAGTTGTAAAATGTAGATGTTTGCTCCAGATTATTAAACATGATATTCCACACACTGTTAAGAGAAGGCCACTCTGTATCCAGCTATTTTTAATCCAGATTTTATAATTGCTTCATAATATTTGTAATGTTAATTGAAATATGTTTTTGTACTTTTCCCCCTGCTAGGGAATGGCAAATGGAGAGGGCCTTCCAAACTGTCCTGTGGCTTCTGCAGCCGGAAATAGTCTTCATCCTGGGCGATATCTTTGATGAAGGAAAATGGAGCTCTTCCCAGGTTTGTGTTCCTTGAACGGGTCTCCGAGCAAGAGAGATGCTTTTAGTAAGTGAATAGAAGTCCAAGGCCAGGAGTAGTTCCAGTTCTTGGAATCTTAATTATTAAATGGAAGCTGTTTTATGAATATTACAGCATTGTTAGAATTTAAGTTTGTATTTATAGATGGTACTTTGCACAACAGATATGCCAACTGAAACAATATTGACAGTGTTGGCAGCAGACCTTTTAGCACAGATAACTTTTGGGTATTGTTGCTAGTTCCTGTACGTTCCTATAAGTTGCATTTTAAAATGAACCTTAACAATTCCCATTTTCTGGTCTTATACACCGACTAAAATGCAGCTGAAATGTTTTTTCTAAATTAACCAGTTTGCTAAAGTATTCAGAAAATTCGTTTACAAATATGTGTGTGTGTGTTAGGAAAATGTGGACAAAGAAAAATGCAGATTGTTTGTGTAGGCTTGTGAGAAGAAAAAAACAAATTGATGAAGAAATAGAGCAGAATGAAAAATGTGAAAAAAGAGCAACTGTATGAAATTGAATTTGACAGATTTGCAGTTCCTACCAGGGTAGTAGTGATTAAATTCATCAGTTAGCAAGAGGTTACCCAAGTGTCTTCTAAAATGAAACAGTCTGCAGTTTTCCCCCAGTGATTAGTGTAAAATTCAGTAGATGTCTTGGGTAGATTATTTCTATGGTATTAAAGCCAAATTTATATTCAGAACACTCTTACAAAAATGAACTGTGGGTTGGGGTAAATTGGACACATTATGGACAAATAGGGCTGATAAATAAAAATAAAATATGTAGAAATCTGTGTTGGTTTGTAAAGGTTTTTTATGATTCTAAGAATAACTCTAATATATTAGTATCTAAACACTCAACAGCCCTAGGTGGGGAAAAATAACATAATGCAAGCTGCTGTGTTTAAAGAAATGCACTGGTGCCCTTTATCTTCTTTTTAAGATTTTTTTTTTCTGAATATAATGTAGAAAATAGTTTGTTTTCATTTTTAATATATAAAAATGAATTTTAATATAAATATTATGCAGTTGATTGCCTTAGCTCAGGGGTAGGCAACCTTGGCTCTTTTATGACTCATAAAAGAGCCAAGGTTGCCTACCCCTGCTTTAACTCAATGTATTGTCTGCTGACCATTTATTCTAGGCAAAGGCAAGGATAATCAAAACAGAAAAGCTTAAAACTAATAGTATTTAGTTTTATTTAAACAAGATTTCTAGCTCTTAAATTTTTAAATATATTTTTCTGCAGGCTTGGTCAGATGATGTAAGACGCTATCATAAAATATTTTGGCATCCGGACCACACAGAAGTATTTGGTATTGTTGGCAATCATGACATCGGCTTTCATTATGAGTGAGCATTGTTTTAAAATTGTGGAATATAGATTGAAATATTGGTGTTGTAGTGAAGATGCTCTAATTCAGTTATGTTTTCTCCATGCTGGGAGTTACGTTGTTTATTAACGGTATAACAAAATGCTGTGTTTTTTATTATATGCTCCTAGGATGACATCATTCAAATTGGAACGTTTCTCTAAAAGTTTCAATTTGTCTTCTGAAAAAGTAATAACTCGGAAAGGGATAAAGTGAGTATAACTTTTTTTTTTTTCCATTTACTGGGGTTTTTATTATTGTAGCTAGTCTTTGTACTTTGGCATTTACAGCAAAATATTAGTTTCACAACGATGGCATCACATTACATTTTATTAAAAAATAAATTATAAATAGATTTTTTAAGATTAATTTTTGGCTCTCTAGAAAATACTTTTTAATATATTTCTGCTGAAAGGATAAGGATTGTTGCTTGTGATCTGTTTTTTTTTTCTATTTGGTATTAGCCACATAAAAAAAATAATATTAAATTTGTTCTAATTCTGCTTTTAACATTTGCATTTTAATTTAACTACAGCCCATTATATAGAAACATGTATTCATTTCCTGATACTATAAACAATATCTTAAGATTCTGCATTGTTTAAACTCCATTTTTATATCAGTGTTAATATCTAGTAACCAATGATACATTGATTGGTTTTTGCCAAGTTAACATTTAAGACAGAGAATCATATTATGACAGTGTTAAGATCAATATTTATGATTATATATCCACTATAAGGATTATTTTTCTTCCTTGATCATTTATTACCTTGGGCAGATTCTGTGCAAACCCAGGGAGAATTGTCCACTTATTTGTGACATGGCCCTCTTTGTCTGTTGTAATCTTCAGCACATTAGAAGTATATTCAGTGGGGAAGTCTTTTTATGCTATGTGGGTTTACTTTGTTGAGTTTTATTTCCAAGTTAAGAATATGGGATCTTCTAATTTATTGGCTGTAACTTGCATATTTTCTTCTTATATTCTTAGCTTTCTTATAGTGAACAGTATTGCTCTTGAAGGTGACAACTGTATGATTTGCAGAACAGCAGAAGCCAAACTAATTGAACTTTCCCACCAACTGAATTGCTCACGGAAGGTAGGCATATAATGTTTTTTGGGAAAGCTTATCAACGTAAAGAATAACTCTTCTCCAGAATTATTTCAAACTAAGCCCTTCCCAAATTATTATTCTGGTGCACCCAATCTTTCAGCAATCTGTCTTTTCCTCTAAAAATTATATGTTCTCTTCATTAAAATGAATGAGAAAGCCCTTATGGGGTGAAGGTTTCTGCCCTTGGGCATTGGGAAAACCAGGATGAAATTGTGGATATGAATAAAGCAGCAGCACTATCAAATATGTTCTTTTTAGTATTGTAATCATCTTCAGATGATTACAATACATCTTTTGTGTCTGAATTTAGTAAATGAAGAAAGAGTCCTTTTAAACTATAGTAATTTATTTATGGATTCCTCAATCCTACAGCACTTATAAACTCTTGATATAGCAGGGCTTACCTGCTCTTTAAATTAATTAAATCTGATAGTTTGATATTTGTTAGATTTATACCACATATAAAAACTAAAGGTGGCATACTTAGTGCTCCTTCCTCTGTAATGAGTTGAGACAATAACTTTGAGCAGAAGGAAAAGCAGTAACTGAATAGAGTCTTAATTCTATTGGCTTTCAAAAGCCAATAGGAATTGTCCAGGCTGTCTCTGCCCTGCTGAGCCTGCCAAAAGTCCCATTCTGCAAACGGTGCTGCACCAGTTGAGTAGTCCTCGACTTACGACCGGTTGAGTAGTCCTCGACTTACGACCGGTTGGGGGGTCACGGCATTAAAAAGGTTGAGAACCACTGAGTTAGAGGCAGAATTGTAATTTAAGAAAGCACCTCAGGCTTGACCCCCTTCCCCAGTTCCCTTGATGATAAAGGGAGAGGAGGGGAAACATATTCACACTTGCAGATTCTATTATTGTAACCTCATAATAAAAGTAGAATTAGCATTCAAAAATTTGGTTCCTAGTCTGATCCATCTTGAAGGACTGGCACCCTCAGTACTTATGACTGTTTTCTTTTTTGTGCATTGTGTGCATAGACATTGTTCTAAAACAATCCTGGGAGGTTCTGCTAAAATATGCTAATATATCTTGCAGACATTTTTTGCCTCTTTCTAACTCAAGTGGTGCCTAAAAACTGACTCATCCATTCTTTGAACATGAGAGTGGTATCTTTTAGAAAATCCAGTTTTATCTAGCTGCACCATTCCCTCAATTCTAATGAAATACTAGAAGTTTTCCTTAAAAACCATGATGACTTTTCTATTTGTTGCTCTGTGTAAGGTATATATTAAATCATTTCTTATTTTTGTTGATAGGAACAAAATCAATATAAGAAAAGCTGCAGTAATGTGGATAAGCTCCCAGCCTCAGCTCCAATTCTGTTGCAGGTAAGTTGGAAGACTATGATAGAATGAGATCTCTGCATTTTATTTAGCATGGGCATAGTGAGAAACTTTATTTGGAACTATTTTGTGCTTTTAATTCTTCTCAGCATTATCCTCTTTATAGAAGAAGTGACTCAGAATGTACAGGGGAAGATTCTGCTCCCCTGGAGAAAAAGAATGATCTCTTTAGAGAGAAATACGATGTGCTTTCTCAAGAAGCTTCCCAGAAGGTATTTTTGTTTTGACCAGAGGCTTTACATTACTTAAGTCTGAACTGTGGAGTTGTATTAATAAAGAAAAAGTGTGAATTTTTTATTCTTAAAAGTTGCACAGTGGATCTTATTTCTTTTAGGAAATATTTACGCACAATATTTATAGCATACAGTGCTATAAATGCAGTGACAAAGTAACCAATGCAAGAGGAACTTTCCTTCGTCTTCAAGACATCTGGAGTTCGGGAGACATTCTTTCTCTTATGAAAAATGACAGCATATTGTTGCATTGTTAAAGAAAGAAGCAGTACCATATGTGGGAAGTTTCGCCTTTTACTGTATTTGCTTACAATAAATTCACCAGTTTTCAGTGATATAAATCTGTTGTAAAGAAGACCTAGGTGCAGTGTGGAACCTACTTTGCAATCAAGTATACTAGGAGTCAAAATTGTACACCTCTGTTCTGAGTTGGATTGCAGGCGATGTACCTGTTTTGCAGTTCGGTCTCAGTCTTTGTGGCTCAAAGCCCTGCTGGGCGGGAAAGTTTGCAATCTGAGATCCAATATATTTGAGGAATGCCATAAAGCAAAAGGTATTTTAGCTTGGCAGTGGAAATCATCAAGCACATCACCTCTAGCATGCTTATTTGTTAATGATATATCACAGTGAATTCAAGCATTATGTAGTGGTTCCCTGAGCCCTATTAAGTCAGAGATTTCTGGGTAATGCTGAACCACACTTCTCCCAAAGATGTGGTGGACAGGAGTTTTGGAATCAGCTCTGCATCAAAACTGAGTTACTTCTAGTATTTACTGGGATGATTTGATAGTACTTTAGGGATGGATGGATAACAACTCTAATAAATTAGCACTGATTAAAATGACTGAGGGGAAACTGAAAGCAAGATGTGCTGTGTGGAGGAGTTATTTCTTAAATCAGAAATGGTAACAGTGATGTTTTATTCCACTTTATAGCTGCTATGGTGGTTTCATCCTCGGCTGATTCTGAGTGGTCATACCCACAGTGCCTGTGAAGTGCTTCATAATGGTAACATTCATGAAATCAGTGTTCCATCATTCAGTTGGAGGAACAGAAACAATCCTAGTTTCATAATGGTAAATTTAAATGTTTATTTTATCAGATATTTTTTCATAATATAAATCAACATAGCAATCAGCTATTTTCTCAGACTGATGCTACCTGTAAAAAAAAAGCAAAACAGAACAGCTTCTTCCATCCTCTCCAAAAGTACACTTAAGTTGAATACAAAGCACCCGCTTTATAAAGCACATACACGGAGAGCCATCTAGCTTGTAGAGTGCAAAGTAAGGTTTATGATTTACAATTCTAAATGCAAGCATATTTAGTACGTTTCTATAAAGAGGATGCAGTGTAAACAATCTGACTACAATTGTCAGTAGTCTGCAACAAACAGTATTGAGACTTGTTTTTGCTTGACTGATTTATTCACAAGACCACCTTTTCCCTCTGGGATTCTTTGTCTTTCAAAAGTGCAAATTATATCAAAGGGCAGCAAAATTCTATTCAGAGGAATCTAATTCACAGTTTACTTGGGGTATACTAGATTACAATTCTTAATAAACCCAGAGCACAAAAAATTTCTTGGTTCTAAGCCTTGTTTTAAATGATGCTATCTTCAAAACTGGTTCTATGCTAACTTTACTTTTTCAGTTCCTTGAGCTTCAGGAAAGGCAAAACAATTATAGTTCTATTGTACTTTTTAATTCATAGATCTGTCTCATTTTAGGTGATTTTAAATTGTTCTCCTTGAGAAGCATAGTTTCACCTATATTTTGTTTAAAGTCCTTATTTAACAAGTCCTTATTTAACAAAGTCCTTATTTAACTTATTTAGCACTCTTGACATGTGGATGCTTATCTATGGGGCTAGATTATCCATAATCCCAATCCCTTCCCAATTCTATAAGAACAGAGAGCTATGTTGTATTTTATTTCATGCAATTTCAAATGCTTAGTTCCCCCAATTATATAGCAACCATTAGTATAATTAAGGGTTTTAAGCTGTTAACTATATAAGTCTTCCCTTGTCCGGTCAAACAACAGCTGTTGTGTTCTGGAAGGTCCTTTTTCACATGGCACAAAATGTTCATACAGGGCAGTTCAGTGCTTAATTGCAAAATAACTCCATTAGAAGTTTCAGAGTTGTCTGCATCTCTTGAACCATGAACAATTGAAAATAATGCTACTTTAAGAACTCAGCTTCCCTCTCCCTTAATAGAATCTTCAATATCTACAGCCATTTGCCTCAGACCTTCTAAACTCTTGCTTTCATTTTTCAGGGCAGCATAACATCAACAGAGGCCTCGCTCTACAAGTGCTTTCTTCCATATGAGAACACGGTAATAACCATTTACTGTACAGCAGGATCTGTGCTGGTGGTCCTCATTCTGGCTCACTTTCAGCCCCTTCTTTCCCCTTACCATTTTATTCAGCGTTTAATCACTAAGTATAAAGCACTATGAGAAGTCAGACACTTGGAATCAGTCACTGACACACCAAAGCTAAAGAATAATCCATCAGACTACATTCATGCCAGCAAATGCATACTTGAATTGCTAGCCCAAAAGCAAACTGCTCTTAACAGACAGAAAGCTCTAGACAGTTGATAGGACTTTTTTTTTTCTACAGGATAAAGTAACTGCTTCATGCTGTACAAAAATATTGTAATCTACAATCAAATGAATGGTTTTCTTGCTAAAGTTTTTTGTATCAAATATGTCTATTAAAAGTTTGTAACTGTACACTAAGTTCTACAAGCCTCTTTTTGTGTCTGCACTAGTGCCCTACGCTGTCAGAGGCTCAGTCTTTGTAATAGAAAAAGAATTTTAAAGTGTTATTGCTGCGTGACCATCTGAAGTGGTAGTTCATTTCCTTGATACCAGCAATACAAGATGTAGTTATTTTACAGCAAGGTATTACCAAAACAGAAGCAAAATGTAACTATAATAGGTGACATAATTTTCTACTCTCACGAGTCACTTTTAAATTAGATGTAAATAGTTTTAGATGGTAGTCGTGTGACAGCATCAACAAAAACCTTTGCTAATAAGTTTGCAGAGTATTGGCAAGCCAGGTAGAAAACTGAGAAGCCCCTTGCACGTTCAAAATTAGGGTGTGCACTCTGTATCCATGAACACATGGACTGAAGCTTGGTTGAACATTTCCCCTGGAATAAGATGTAAACAACTACTATTAGATTCACACAGAGTTTTTATGGTATGACTCAGTTTGCATGACTATTTCCCCCCCAAGAGAGATAAAACCTTACCCAAAAACTTGGCATTCCATTCCTACATGTTTAAGTCCTATCTGATTAATAGCATTAAAAAGTGCTTGTATGCAACTTAAAAAGGCATTATAAATTAAGCTGCAGAAATTTATAGAGTTGGTTTTCTTCATCTACTTATATAAATTTTAAAGAGAATTTTATTCAGTAAAGTTCTAGTTAGGTTAGCCTTCCTCATCCTGATGGCCACCTAAGTGTGAAGACAACAGATCCCAACATTTCCAGGCATGCTGGAAAGAGTTCTGAAAGTTGTAAACAAAAATCCATTTGGAGGGCATTAGATTAAAATTGTCTGAATGACAGAATATAATCTGTGACATTTGCAGCAAACAAAAAAGAGGGGACAGAATTACAATAACTCTACCCCATTCTTTTCAATAACAGAACCATCCACTTTTTTTTAACAGGTAGTAGTTTACATTTTCACTGCTACGGTTTTAGAGGAAATATGAATCTTTAGACTGGTATGTCTTCATCATATCAACATTAGTTTCTTTCAATCATCTTGGAAACATAACAAGGTTTGACTGAATACAGTATGTCAAAATACCAGTTTCAGAGTAGATCTAAAATGCTTCAAAATCAGAATATCTTGACAGATTACTAGCCTGATTCTTTTGCAGAGATACAATTGTTTCTCAGTTTCCAAAAGTGATCTGGGATAATATATGCAATAAACATGCCTTCCTAATTTAAAAATAGTTTCACATTATGCCATCAAAATATTTTAAGAGTAATTTATCTTCATAGCAAAAGGCAGAGATAATCCAAGTGTTATAATTTATGAAGTTCTGAATTTGTTATTGCATCTACAAATTTTAAATATTTGTACAGATTTTCTCAGGCACTGGAAACTGTACTCTGACATAATGCCTATGTATAAAATATAAAACAATCTCATAGTTACCGAGAAAGGCATGCCTTATTGCTACACCAATTCTTGCTTTTATGCTGAACTGTACCACAACTTATTTTGTGAATGTCATTTGCATAAATTATTCAAGTTTGAAAAACATTATGCTTGTACAGTATTTAAAATAAAACCATTTTCTAAGATCTGTTTATTAAGAGAAATAAATACGTCATTTTGTAATTCTCTTAGGCCAAACACAAAGATTACACCTTTTTTTCTTTCTTGCAATTTGCACAATAAAAGCAGCTGTTGCAACAAAGACTGAAAAAAAAAACCAACCTTTTTCTAATGGTGCCTTTACACATTCACAATTTGCAACTGTGAACGGTTTATGAATGACCAAAGAACTACTGAACATAGTTTTAAAGGTAAAACAAGATATTCCCAGAAAACTAATACCAGGTTGCAATTTGGACACTTAAATCAATTTTTAAAGCTGAGTCTGAAAGGCTATTGCTGCCATAGTAGCAGCAATTACTTACTTGGAAAGGTAATATGACTAAAATTTGCATAATTTATACTTTTTATACTAAAGAACATTTTATATAAATCAGAAAAAAAACCTTAAACTCTACGGAGTTTTTTTTTAAACCTCCAGTCACTGCTGTAGGTAGAGTTGACATCAAGCTGTACAGCGCAATCAAAAACATACTTACATCTTAGCTCATTTTACAGGTACAGCCATAATCAAGGCACAAAGATCTTCTACAAGTATTTTCTTCAATAAAATTGTACAAAATAATATTACACTTTACAGTCTGTACAATATAATAAACCAGCAGTAAAACAAAAAAAATATATATTATATATATATTATATATTATATATATATATATTTATATTTTCATAGAAGACTGATGCCCCAAAATGATCTAAATTAATTGAATCATTTGTGGACAGAAGAAATATGGTATGTGAAGGTGAATTTTCTGCCTAAATGCAATAGGCTGAAAAAGTAGCTCTAAATTCAAAAGCCTGAGGTGTAAAGAGACTCTTAGCTCCAAACCTCCCAAAATTGCTTACCTACTCTATTCCTGGGCCAGCAATGGCTTAGAAGAGGAGGTCACTTCATCAGTTGACCTGCAACTCAGTTCGTTAAAAAACTCAGTGTAATAAATATCATAGTGCTGCTACATCATGCATGTATACATGTCCAACAGTATTTTCTAATTCTGAAGCAAAGTGCATTATTCCCTTTCTGTCTATCAAGTACTCTTCAGTGTCATGATACAAAAGGAACCCTCCACAAACATTCTAGGTATGACACAGTGTCATCTAACTAGCAGATACCAGCTTGAACTAACAAGTCTGCTGAAAAAAAATTAGCAGACTACGTCCAATTAATTAAACATAAACAAAAATTTACAACCGAACCAAAGGAAACAGAGGTAGCCAAAGACTTCAGTGGAATGACAAAGAAGTGGCATATAAAAATAAAGCACACATATTGTCCCTAAAGCATGGGCTGGGCTAGAAAAGCTAATAAAAGCAAACGAACTGAGGAGGCAGATGGATCTAATATCTCTTCCTCTACTTCATCCGAGGAAGCCAAGAAAGAAAGATGCTTAAAACCACGGACTCCATGGTGTCCTTAATTACAATAGTTCATACTGGCGAAGATGCATTCTCTGAATGATGTCTCTACAATCATTGAACACTCTCCGAATATTTTCTGTGTCAATTGCACATGTGAAATGTGGATAGCAATAATGCTTTCCATCTCCGGTTGCCGTACTTAATCGCTGTAAGAGATAATGAAAAAGTAGCTGAAAACAGAGTTGAATAAAAGCACTTCTGGGAAATGACAACAAGATGTGGGAAGACTGGTCAGTCTAGCACCATCTCAAACTAATGTCAAAAAATTATGCATT